TTTGGGAAAAAATAAATTTGGGAATAATTAGGGTTCATATTAATCTGATAAAAATTCCTAAATTCATAATTAGGGTTTATCCTAATTTGAGAAAAACATAATTTAGGAAAAACTTTCATAAAAGGAAAATCATAAATCTAATAACCTCGTGCTCGATACCACATGTAAACTTTATGCAGTTTTCCTACGTTCTTCATTCATTATAGAAAACTACTCTATAGGATCTTTAGATTATTGATTTTCACATTTGCATACATCAATACATGAATCTAATAAGAGAACTAACCTTGATCCATGAGAATCCTTCTTGATCCTTTCGTTCTCCAATCTCCTTTTCCCAATCTATCTCTTTGCCTTTCTTTCTCTTCACACGCTTCGCTTTCTTGATGGTTTACCGTGAAAAAGACCTTATGGCCAGAGACAGAACCCTAATCCCTTTTATTAACCAACGTCCATCGAGTTGGTTACATTCAGTTAATATTTTATTTTATCTTTATTTTATTCTGACTTCACATAATAACCAATAGGTCCTTATAATTATTAAATCACATTTGGGCCCTTTATAATATTTCACATGAGTCACATAATGGAATGAATTAATTAAAAATTAATTCTAACAATTGAATGTTGGTAGATGCCATCGGACATTGTAAGTTTTCTTCGTCACGTAACTAACTATTCATCAAAGTGAAAATTAAGGCACTGTTAAGTCACAAGACAACAAAAACATTTATACGATGTAAATGAGAATTCATTTAATCACAAAAAGACAAAGGTATGAAAATGGTTGTTGTTTGCCTTAATCAGATATGGTCGACTTCGATTTCATATAAATTTTAATCACACTGTGTCTTTAAGAAGCACATGCGATTAATATATGTTAACTTAAAAATGATATGTGGAGTTGAACCTTTATGCATACTTTATTTCTATGCCACATATTTGGAAGGTTTAAGAAGAAAGAAATATTTTTGAAAGAGAAACAGGTTTATATATACATAATCTCTATGCCCAAAATTCTTTTGAACCGATAAATGTATATATAGATGGTAGTCATAATGAAATTTAACTTGTAAATATAGAATAAAGTTTTTGAATCTAACCCTAAATATAGTTGGCATTATAGCACTGTATAATTAACCCTAAAAAGTATATGTGAGGAGTCGCTATGAAATTCAATGCTAATCCTCGTGCTTGCAAGGATCTATAATATTCTATTGTAATTTTTTTTTGGTTTAAAATAAACTGAAATCTTTCCAAATTATACCAAAATGAGGGTTAAATTGGTTTAAAATGAGATAAATGTAGGTTAATTAACATGTGTGACAATATAAAAGCTATTTAAAAGGGGCAGTAACTTAGGGCACAGTATTAAATATTGGGACAAAATCCGTTTCTATACTTTGTTTGGCATTTTTTAATTCTGACAAATGCATAGGGTTGTTGGAATACTTTTGTGAAACAATTTTTCTTTTTTATTGTTATAGAAAGTGGACAATAATTGGTTTTAGTGGATGATGTTGGAGAAATAAATATAAATTTGAGAGTGGAGAGCCGTCTGAGCAACAACCATTTTGAAAATTGAAAACAGAAAATACCTAACTTCTTGGTTTCCTTTATTAAATTCATGTAAATAATTGTACGTCTGCATCATAAGACCTAGGCCATGTCTAGTAAATAAATACTATAATAATGTATTATTGGGTTTAGGGTGCAAATTTCAAACCAAATACAATGACACCTAAACCAGTTTCTAAATTATTTCCCTTCATTGGAATTTCCTTTTCAAAATCTCAATCAAGGGAAATGCTTACAATGAGGAAAACAAAATTGAAACTTCAAATCTTGTATAAATTATTTAAATCTATTCACCAACTCAATCCTAGAAGGTTTTAGAGTATCTATGATGATTCAATAATTGATAACAACCTTTAATTTTAAGTAAATTATTCACTAATTTCAAGTCTTTAATTAATTATTGGTGAGGTTGATTGGGATATGTCTCCTTGTTTGCTTACAAGGCTCCTCTGTTGTTTCTCTTTGCTTTTAAATATTGGTCATGATCTCCTTGATTCATGCATGGCAGAGTTTTCAGTTCTTTATTTTATTTTGTGTTCACAGTGATTTTTAGTTTATGTGAATTTCAGAGTTTGGCCTCTTTTTTGTCATAATTGTAGACTTTAAATTCTAAACCATACCATCGATATCTACAATTGGGCCACCCATAGCAATGTTTTGTAATAAAGTCCAACTTTTTACCAAAATTATATCCTTTTTTTCCTATTCACACTTACCAATTTACTATGTATACCTCTTTTCCCTTTTTCTTTTTCCTATTACCAGAAATATTGTTTGTACAAAAGAAAAGGTAAAAAAAAAAAATAATCATTATTGTATTTATTTGCATTACTCTTTAAACTCTATTTATCTTCACTAACCTCAAATCACATTTTTGCTTCCAGTCTTAATTAAAATAGATCCCGTGCTTAAACAAGTGGAGTTGTTAAATCTTACTTCAATTATTAATGTTACTCTAATTAAAAGTTTAGATCTAATTTGTTACAAAACTCATTATTAAATTTACTATTATTATTTTATGATTTTTTTTAAATTTTATCAATGTAATATTTAATAAGTATTTAAATATTAAATAATATCAATAAATAGGAATACGTGCATAAGAAGAATGCATGTGAAATTCAAAAAATTTAAAACATTATTGATAAAAAAAACTGCCTTAAGGTGTGTTTTGAAACAATTATTTTCATTGGTATAATAAAATATTATATAATATAATTAGTACCATTTTAGGTTCTGAATATTGAGTTATTTAGAAATGATGTCAGAATTACATTTAATAATATTAAAATATGAAAATCTCTCATTAAATGAAGAGGTGATGAAAACTTTTTTTAAAACGAGAGGTGTGATAAAAAAAATCACATAAGTGAGTATATTATTTATCACTTTCAACAAATTTCAATTAATATAGTGTAATACAAAATCAAAAATCAAATCTTCATCGTCCATGTAGTAGTGGATTTTTTCCCTGGAAATTTTCATCATCAAATACTGGTAGAAAAGTCTCCTTCAAAATGTTGGGAGGGAAACAAAGATTGATAGCAAAATAAACCTTGCCACAATGGTTGGAGTGGATTAGAAAAATTTAAGACCACTTACATTGGTAAAGAAAATGGGTTTTAATAATTATACGTGACGGTAAAAAAAGACCTTGCTAAATTAAATCAAATTTAAAATTATATTTATACATATAAATAAAGGTTTAGGGTCTAAATCAATCGTAAACTAATATATAAGATGTTTATTTAAATCAAACTAAAAGTGATTTTTTTTATATAATTCTTACAATTAAATTTGTTATATTATAATTATAATTGATTTAAAAATATAACGTGCATCACATGGTCACCCCGGGTCCACTTACCCGTGTATATATAATTTAAACCATCTTAGATCACATACGTTAAAACTCATTTATCTATTAGAATGATCACTGTCAAATTTATTAATAATGGACTAAATTTACATCTTTACAAAATTTTATAAAATAAATCTATCAATTTTTAAATATAGAAATCAAAGTTAAGCTTGACCAACATTAAAAAAATGCACTTTTTTTGTATCACTTTTATCAATGAAATTGATATTTATTTATAAGGTTAATAATATCCTTCACAAAAGTAACGATGACTGTTTTTTAATATTAAAACTAAAGTTCATTTAAACTCATAATTTTAGAACCGGAGTCAACAAAAATTAATTTGAGAATAAATATATAAATAAATAAAATTTTAGAGAATTATAATATATTTTTTAATAAAAATAAAATAAAATTCTAAGGACAGTAACCCCAACCAGTACCTTCCTTTCATTCTTGTATAACATTGTAGTTTAATATATTAAAAAATAATGTAAGTTATCTTTATCTTACAAAATGAATTTCTTTAAGGTAGAAAAATATCAATGATCTTTAATCTAAATCTTTATAATATTTTATTCTTATTAAGTAGATAAGTCATAGTAATTAAAACATTAAGATATAATATTTTATTAACACTTTCAGCACCATCTTTCATATGCGAGATAGCTGTTTAATTGATGGTGGCATTGACTTTTATATTGGGAGAGTTGGTTTGCATGTCTGAAACAAAATATTGAAAGGCATGGGATGATAACAATAGGATTTGCTTGTCTTGTAATTTTAAAAATCACTTTCCCACTAAACCAGATTATTTCACTGACAATAATTGTATGGCAATAAGTCAAATTACATGCAAACCATGCATTGCATGTATGACTGCTCACATTTGGAAACATGTTGCAAGAAATTTCAACTGATTTTTCTGAAGAAAAAGGATGACAAATAACCATAAAAAAAAAAAAAAAAAGTAACATAAGTTGACTGTTGTTGTCCTGGACGAGAGTGGCCCGCGAAACGTAAATAATTGAATGCGGCACACTATGTGAGGGAGTTTGAACCATTCCAGATTAGACGTGTCCTGAGAGTGGTCCCCTACAAATACAAAGTAAAACATGGATTGAGATGAAGGTGATTAGGGTTCTTCAACCGGAAATCTAACAACATATTTGCTTGTGGAAATTAACTTAACATCACTAATTGTCTTCCATGATAATGGTGGAACAGACATAACGAAAAGTAATTAGACGTGGATGTGTGTTTATGAAACAGAAAACAGGAAAGCAAAGAGGGTAATTGAGCACTAACACGCAACTGCAAAAAATGAAGTAATTAGGCTGTGGGATCACTCAAGTGTCCGAAAAAGGAGAAATGCACATTGGTTAGGTTTTGAACAAAAAGAGAAAAACGTCACGTCCCAAGAATTGTTGAAGGATGGAAAATAGTGAGGAAGAAGGAGCACGTGAAGGAAAAAGAAAAATATACATTATTCACCACTCTTTGTGTTTACTAGTAGTAACTGGAATAAATAAATTAACAGCTCCTGTTTTACATATTAGCCTCAACGGTGGAAACGCAGCGTTTCGCCTTCTCTTAGTGGCGCGGCTTGCCAAGCCGAAGCCGCAATGAGGGGCCGGCTATGCCAACCAAGGGTCAAGGAGCCTTGATTCTCTTCGACGCAGTAACCCTCGGCTGAGAAGAGAGTCAACAACATGCTGGCTTGTTTGTAAGCGTTGGAGCCCAAATGTAAGGGTCTGAACCCGGCTTTAGCGAGCCGCTCCCTCCACTTCGCCAGGGGCTCGTGCCGCTCTACCCGGGCCGGTCCCTCACAGCACACCAAGTTGCAAATCTCCCTCTGCAGGTACATCTCCGCGAGAGCCTTGTCCGGTTCGACTGAACACGCTTCCAGCGAGTCAAAGACGGTGGAATAGTAGTGCAGAGCCTCGGTGAATCGCTCCAGAAACCCTTCCCCGTTGTGGTTCGCTTCCTGCTCCACAACCGTCACGATCTTAGGGTTTAGACTTCGGATCCAGCCAAGAACCGCATCGATTCCCGAGCCAAGCACCCGGTGCAGCTGCATGATCGAGTTCACCGCCACCGCCTCCTTCGGACTCACCTGCAGCATCCACGGCTTCACGTCCTCCAGACGCCACGCAGCCACGCCGCGGAACGCGAACCGCACGTTCACCGAGTGCGCCAGCTCCGCCAGCCGGGCGCCGATCTCGCGCAGCGTGTCGCGCTCGTCTGGTGAGGGGGGTCCCACTCCGGTCAGCCTCAACGACGGCGGACCTCCCGGGCGAAGCGCTAGCGCTTGTATGAGCGCCGGCCACTGAAGCCCCTGCATCAGGTTGAAGTCTATGACGTGAACGCAGTCGTGGCCGTTGAACGCCTCCAGGATCGCCTGGTTCGCGGTGAAGTGCGCGAACTTGAGGTAGGGGCAGGCCTCGTAGTAGTGGTGGTAGAGAACGTCGTTCTCGTAGGGGGAGGTTGGGAACACGGCGTTTTGCGGAGACGAGATTCGGCGGCGCAAGGCGTCTATGAAGTAGCCGGCCACCTTCCCGATGCCGCAGGAGGTGTTCACGTGAGCCAGAAGGCCCTGCATGCTGTCGATGAGGGAGCCAGCGAACGGGAGGTCGCCACGTTGCACGGAATCCGCACACGTGATGAGCGTGTGAACGAGTCTTATCCCCGAGTCTTCTTCGACGGTGGTTACCATCCCCAGTTGGCGGTTCGGATCCGTGGGCAAATCAGGTAGGTCCGAACACAGATCGTAGGGCAACGACACCGTTTGGTCCAACTCGGAGAGAAGTGTGTCGACCCAAGAACCTAAACCTATGTTGGAGGGATCGTAGAGGAGTGTGTCGGAGACGACTTGAGAAATGTCCCTGGATGAGTTGACAGTGTTGATGGCGTTCTCTAAACGCTCCATATTCTCAGCCACTTGACAGAGTTCCGATGAGCGGACCTTGTAGCCCAGCCCAGCCAGATGCCCGTCCATGTCCCTGGTCTTGCTTTCGCTGGAACTGCCGTTCATTTCGAACAATGAAATATGAAAGGAAAGGAATTGAATTGATCAAGAAATGAATTTGTTACTGAGCGAATCAGGTTTTGTTGACATGGGGGAGAGATATAAGTCGTGAGTGGTTTATGGCAGTGAGAAGGAGAGTGAAAAGTGAGTGATGAAAAAGAGGGAGGGAAAAGGAAAGAGAAAGAGAAGAGAGAGAGGGAAAGGGATGTGTGAGGATATTGACTGGGAAGCTGCTTTGTATAATGTATGAGGTTGATGCGTTACTATTTTGTGTTGAGTAGCTATCCGCGGTACTAATGCATCAAATTGATAGATACTACTGCTAATATAATTTCTGCCCTTTTTTAAAAGGTACCCCTAATGTCGCGGTAACGTGCCCTCGATTTTTAGTACCCTAAAGTTGCCAACCTGCCCTACATGCCCTGCTATGCTCTTCCCACTCCCATCTTTGGATTTGGGAGGGGCATTCACCAACATAACAGCTGATACATAGCCTTGACCATCACCAAGCTTGCATGCTTCCTAACCTGGTATAACTCTAAATTCATTTGCATTAATCTACATTTTCAAATTATAATTGCTGTCTTTATTTTAAATAGGTTTAGATTAGATTCTGTTTTTTTTGTAGTTCCAACTTATTTAAGTAGTACTAGTAGTTTTATTTTAGAAAGTATAAATATTTAATCGATAATATTTTTTTATAATGTGATATTTATTTATTTATAATAATTTTGTTTAATATAAAAAATAACTTAATTTATTTTTTATATTTCTAGTTTTTTATGATTTATTTATACATAATATTTAAATTAATATGTTGCATTAAAAAATTCGATTGGTCCGATTTTGTTTCATTTATTAATTTTCTTTTTTTGGGTCCAAACAAGGGAATTAGGTGCTATGCTTTATTCATTTATATATATATATATATATATATATATATATATATATATATATATATATATATATATATATATATATATACATTTAACCTGTTTAGAGTGCTGTGACTGAGTTGTATTACTTAAAACGTTTATATTATGGTTAAGCAATCAAATCAATGATTAAGAGGACACCTTTTTTTTTTTTAAATTATCAACCAGAGAATATACGAAAAGCCCTTCAATTTAGCCAACACTAGTTCCTCACTATTATAAACGAAAGTACATATGAACAACACTAGTACATGGAGACAATTGAAATTTTTAGTTAATACATCATTTGGTTTTTAGTACACTCAAGTAATAAGAAAAAGGTAATGTCTGCTAAAAAATGTATACAGTTTCTTTCTATATGTTCTTCATTGACTTATTGTATAGTATTAGGACCCCAATTATTCAGTTTCTTCATCCATCAAAACCAGATAGGAGAAATCTGGGGTGGTATATGGCCATGCAAAAATCTACAGAAGCTAAATGTAGGTATACTGATCAAACTATTAAGTCAAATCCAGGACTGGATGGAATAGTTGTATTTGAAGGAGTTCACCCCACTGATATGAGCAAAGATATCTGAGGAGTCAACCATATCATCTTCATCTTTCACAACTACCTGCAGGATTAAAAAACTATATCAATAAATAATTGAGAAGGTACAAGTGTGAGAGATTTTCTCTTTTTAACTCGGGCTATTTAATTGAATATAAAGTGCCCTGTTAAGTGTTTAATAAATGAATGATCCCTGGAAATCTTACTTCTTCTTCATCATCATCTTCATGATTGCTACTAGTAGTTCTATTGGTTTCGCCAAAGTCATCGTTCTTTGCAAACCTTCCTCTAACCCGAGGTCGGCTATCTGCCAGAGTTTTGCGGCAGGCATACTGCATATTTGATAGCATCGTAAGAAGTGGTTAACATGATAAGATTTTAATTTTGTTTGATGATGAAGCTGTTTTGAAGACGGGAAGGAGCTTGAGTGTACCTTAATTTTCTTGCTGAAGTTTCTTTCATTTCTTTTCTTCATGTATCTATTGATCTTTTCTTTCCTTTGCTCTACAGAAAGTTTTCCAACCTTGAATGAGGAATCCTCTAAGTTTGAGATTTCAGGTGTTAGAGTGGCAGAACTACCACCCCCGGGAATTAGTTGCTGACTCTCAGTGCCAAGTGCCTAGGAAAGAAATTACAAACAAAATCAATTACTCTCTTGTTCAACGCAAAGGAAAATTGGTCGTCACAGACTATCATTAACTTGGTTAGAGGTTATGGGAAGTTATATTCTAAAAGAACTACGCATGAAGTGGGTCTTTTCTGATGATGATTCTGTTAATCAATTTTTGTGGAAAGTTGCGATTCCTTTCTGGCTCGGGCAACTAGCCAGCCCAGATTTTATGCTACTTTTTACAGGTGAGAATACGATTATAAAGGGGTTGATATGCTAGCTACTGTTTTGATGGATATTGGCATATATTCTATGGGGCATACAGCTTCTTAGAAATTTGTGGGCCATTATCTTTCGCAAACTTTTCACCTCCTGTAAAGCCCCTCTTTATTGTCAAGAACCTTACTGCTGCAACCTTTCAGACTAGAAACCTGTAAGGGCAAGCTTAGAACAACAACAACTTAGCATTAAAAAAATAAACAAATAAGAATCCTTGGACAATGGACTTCTTTTTCTCTCATTTCAGAGCATATTAACATTTGAACTGAACACTTTTTATTTGGATGGTATTGTTAACAAAAAGGCAATGACGGAGAACTTAACCAAAGTAGTCTAAAAATCATACATACCTGAAGGTCTGGAGGGTTAAACACTCGCTGAATTGAATCTGTACAATATATTCTTCCATTTTCTCCTTGGTATTCCAATTCTTGTGTCTGAAGTTCAGAACCAAGAAGAATGTTCCCACCAAAAAATCCAGAACTATCAGTTGATAAGGCAGTAGTAAGGGGGCCGGGAGTCATGTACGGTGGCATGCCAGGACTGAGATAAGTGCAAGGAGATGAAGGGTTGAGAGGAACATAAGAAGGGACAGAAGATATGCAATCCTCTTCAAAAACAGAAGGTAATGGAGCTCCCATGAGAGGTGGTGCAACGGAGTCAGTGGTATACTGAGAGAAGCCCTCCACAACTGAACATGCTGGTAATTGGACCTGAGGCTGCACAGAAGAGAAATCAAACTGTTCTTGCTGGGATGTGACTGGGAGAAATGGGGGAGCATTGAAAGATGGAGATAGCGAGAAGTCTATGGAGGCAGAGATGTCATTATCAATTTCTTCTTGGGAGTCAAATATAATAGACAGGTTACTACTGTTGGTTGTGTTGTTGTTGGTGGTGGTAGTGGTGGTGCTAGTTGGCGTGGTGACGGTGTTGCCATTGTTATTCAACTTATTTTCTACATCTACAGTTAAAGATATGTTTGTTGCGGCATATGAGGAGTTCTCCTCATAGCAACAGTTTGAGCTGGAAGTAACCTCAGAATTTGGCAAAGCTTCTGGGAAAAATTCAGCGTTACATAGTTCGAAAATTCGAGCACTAAGAGGGCTTGAAATTTCATCCTGCAGCAAGTTATAAAAATACAATCTGAGTATCATGACTACCAAAAGAAACTAGTAAACACATTGATAATAACATTTTGACAGACCCTTTATATTCAGTTAGACGACTGATTCTACAACATTTGTTCTCTCATGGGACGGCTAAGTGATGTTATCAGACTCGTTTCTATCAACAAAAGAGGAATTGGGGTGAAGCCTATAATGATTACAGTCTAAACTTTCAGAAGATTATATTCTCTTGTTACTATCAGTCTAAACTTTGGTTTATTGCACGTCTTCATCAATTAGTGAGCATTCTGAAGTAAGTAACACGCGTATAAGCATCAGGTATGCTCATCTCTCTGTTTAGAATATAAATGAAATAAATCAATGTACAATACCCTATAATGTAGAACTCCAAAAACATATTTGATTGGTTGTGTCATCTAGTCAGTTGTGTTTATATTGTTTTGGAACTTGAAAAAGATGGGCATTTATGCCTTAATGTGATAATGTTACAGTATGTTTAACAAAGAAGGAACCTCATGCCATGCTACGTTGTGTTTGTTCAGTGTATGGAAACTTATTTAATGGGAATTAAAAGGCACTTAAAGGAACCCATTATGCTATACATGTGAACTGTTCCTTAAGTCCCCTCTCCCTCTCAACCTGAATAAGAATATCAAAATTGTCAAATAGACAGGCGCGCGGGCGCGCGCACATATATATATATATATTCCACAATTATCGAAAGCTAAGTTTAAATGGCTATCTCACTGCACATCATGCAGAAATTGATATAACTTTGCAGTTTACAATGATGCCCTCGGAAAATGACATGCTGGTGAATGGCATTGTCTTGGATTTGTTAGGATAACATAAAAAAAAAAAAAAAAAAAAAAAAAAAGGACAAAGCCTAATAATTATTGTGGAATCTCTGATTCGTTTTTTCTTGTTGCTATAGTCAATAAGTATTATGCTCCCGAACTAAATAAATCGAGAGAAAATAACATGTTCTTCCCTGCAAATTGCCAGGGAAGGCTGGAAAAGAATTTGAGAATAATGGCTTATAGATGTCTAGAATAGTGATTCTAGCTTCAATTTTATTAGTGCTGGAAAATAATATATCAATCTTGGAACAAACACAAACAAACAACCGATCCTGTAATTCATGCATGCATGCAAGAAAAGAACAAGTGGTCCAATGTCACGAGCCAATTGTAAACAACTTAGCCTTGGACTCGAATTCCAACGTATGAGAAAGAGATTCCCAAATGAGAAGAAACAAACAAAGAAGAATGTAATGTTTCACGAATTTTGGTTTAGGATTACACCATGTCATGCAGGAAACATGGCACAAATAAAGGTAAGAATTAGATGGCAGGTGATTGATAGTGGGTGGAGGTGATTACAATGGGGAGTTGCTGTTGCTGTTCGGCCTTTGGTGGCAGTGGCTGATCAAAAACATCCTGCAACATGGTGTAACCCCTGGCAAGAGGCAATGAAAGCAGCCCAGAATAGAAAATGTAGACAAAAGGGTATATGTGGTGAGAGAGATGATATATTTATATATAGATATATAGATATATAAATAAACAATTGTAGTATCAAGTGCAAAATGTAGGAAAATGGTTTTGTGAGACACGTGTGTCGGAGACTAAAAGATGTGCATAAGGAGAGTCCATAGGGAAGAAGGGAAAGGGAGAGAGAAAGAGGGGGAAGTTATGTTTTGATGAGTTAGTTAGCTATGATGATGGAGAGTATGAGGGTGTCAAAGACTGAAAATTAGTTATGTTGATATATAGGCCATGGCCTTGTCTTTAAGGGCGTCAGCCTGGCGTCAACGCGACACACACGCTGGGCCATTCATCCCCTCCCATCCCACTCTCCACTCTTGGATTTTCTGTTGACCCAGCCTTATACTTTATATTTAATAACCATTAACCTAATATTGCAAACATCTTCTTCTTCATTTTTTTAATAATCAAATTTCTCATATTAACTTTATAAATCTCTTATGCATCAAAGAAGAAAATCAATTAAACGTTTACTTCAATATTTCTCATTATATATACACCATACCATCTGTTCATCTCTTCTTAATTTGGTATCAACATGAGATATATTATTTTATCTCATAATTGCCACTTTTTAAATTTTACTTTTTAGTAATATTTGGATACTTTTTATGATATTTAAAATTATTAATATATGTAATTTATGTTTAGAATCTATGAAAGATAATATCCTCTATAAATCGGTCCAAAAACTCTCTCTTCCAGATATTTTATGTATCTTTCTTCCTTCCGTAGTAGGTAAAAGATTTTTTTGTCTTAATTGTGTTTTTAGTTTTTGAATGAGTTAAATTTATCTTTAGTTCTTCTAAATTTATTGATCGTTTATAAATATTCTTCCCTGCGTAAACATTGTAAATATAAATATTTCAAAAGACCAACAAACATGTGGTAGAAAATTTGGTAATAAGAATACAAAATTAAAATAAATTTTAATAATTTATTTTATATAAGCGAAAAATTGAATAAATTTATGATGGACACCATATATTTTTTTTTCAAAATACTGAAATTAAAAAGACCATATTTAAAATTGAGAGATAAAAACAAAGGTTTCTTATATATTACAGAAATATATTAAAAACATAATTTAAACATATGTTGCACATTGTAAATTCTATCATAATAGTAAGAAAAGAAAACTCACAAATTAAGACGATTTGACGGGGATAAAAAAGTGTGTATTCACATGTACGGACGACGAACTTATGGCCCTCATGTGCATTGTTGATTTGCCAAATAACAAAATATTAGTTCGTTTCTTCAAACATTCCAAACATGTCAACTGAATTATTTGGTGACATTTAGGTAGTCGTTATTTCCTCTGCACATGTTCTGTTCTATTCTTTTCTCCGCTTAAAAAGTTTAATACAAACTAATGGGAGAATAATCAAAAGAATAAATCCTACTTACAATTAGAGAATGACTAGTTAATTGGCTACATTTTACAAATATCTATAAGCAAATTTAACATATTTTCACAACACAACCATAGTATATTTAGGTAGGGGGTTTGACGTAGGTCTAGGCAATATAATTCAAATAATTATAAATTGTTAAATTAATATAGAAAAAATTGAAAACTAGTCAAATGGCTCACCCAAAAAGTTGAACATATGTTATCAGATTCTGTTTTTTGTTTTCTTGTAATATCTATTAACTTTCTCTTATTTTTTGTATGATACATGTGATTGGTACAGGTGGTGTTGATATAATTGAGACGTGTATATATACGTCCATTTATTAAATAATAATAAAAAGGAGCTTTTGTATTGCATTACTGTTAAGGACGGTTAAAGCCTCGCTAATTATAAAATGTCCTGGTGCAGACGTGGGTGAAGAAAGGCTTGTCGTACATGAAACTTTCGTATTATAATAATATCTTCAATTTAAAGTTTATTTTTACTCATTATCAGTTCTTTCTATATGTTGATGAGATCTCTGTTGGAAGCACATTTGAAAACTCCATATATAAGTCGAAGTTAGATCCTTAGGAAATTGTTTGGTGCATAAATCTTTCTTATAATTCAAACCTGTTATGCAGAGGCATAAATGTTGGTGCTTGTATCCCGTGTGATGAAATAGTAAAAAAGACATAAGAATATGTATAAAAAGGAAACCATTATAATTTGCCAAAAGTTCATTGTCAGTAGTTCTTGTTTGCAGTTGAAGTGCGAGCAAATAAAGTCTTTAAGAGGAAAAAGATGACATCAGAAACAGATCAAACATGAGTAATTAAACTTCAATACACTCATCTAGGTTTAGAAGGCATGAACCAGAGTCAATTAAATTATAATCTCCATGGTTGTACATACTGTTAGTTAAGTATGTCACCAGCCAGTTTCCACATATGTCATCCTCATTCATTTTGAATACATTCGATAGCGTAATGACACTGCTTTAAACCATCAGCAAATGACTTGCTTCTAATTTGTTTAGTTTGTCAATTCAAACCGTAATACCAATGTTATATTTGTGACCACTGAACTGTGGTGGTACAAACTTCTCATGTTGTATACCTGGCCTTCCAGTTAATGCCATAAGAAACCGAATATTGCATGTAGAATAGCCTAGTTAATACTTTTTTTTTTTCTCTTGGTAGTTGAGTGAGTGGATACCGCAACTCACATTCTACTACACAACCTTGTTTAGACCATTTGGCTTTCACAAACCCAAATTTAAAAAAAATGGAATTTCAAGCATTCAATAAACTACTGCAAGAATTTGGAACAAGTCTGGCAGTAGGTACATCAAATTGATCAAACCACTCAAGGCTAGACTAAACACTACATCCAAAGAGAAGTAGAAGAGAGACGCTTCTTTTGGACATCAAACAAAAGCATCTTAGCCTTGAAAAGGGGAAGCATGTGCAAAACCCCACAACTGCACATAATAGAAATATATGGTGAATAAATCATAAATCATCATGCAAATAAAGAATAGGCAGTGCAAAAAAAGCAATGGACAAAATCAATGAATGGCATATAGTGAACTACAGTCATGAATACAATATTTCATGGCAGCCCTACTAGCTTGCAAAAATTAAGACAAACCCACTTCTGCATCCAAACTTGGGTATATGTACTTTTTCATACGGAGAAACTGGTCCCAGTACCATTTGTTTTCAAAAAAATACTAACTATGAGAAATATTAAATTTTCAAATGATGACAGGAGACTGGACTCATAACTTTTATACTATTCATCAAGAAAGGAACTTATGTGCATGGTCCTCCATTTTCATGGGATTGGGATGTGGAAAGGGCACACTGAATGTAGAGTAAATGTTTATTTCAATTTGTAAGTGTTGTATATCATTGTCTAAACCACGAGAACAAAGAATATTTAGGGAAGTTTCCAGATTGTCAATATGAAGCAGGCAACAGGCAGCAGCCAGTTAATAATTTATTGCAACTTGTAAGCTAGAAAACATAGATTAGTAGTAAAAAAATTACCTCGACATTCTTCAACTTAAACTCTGGGCTATGAGCTAGACATGAGTTTCCAAATGTTTCACTAGGCCCACTAGTTCCAGATAACCTTTTCAACCAAAAGGGTGCATTCAAGAAGAGAATCCTCTAATGGTACTTCAATAACAATGTACTATAATATAACAAAACCAAGTGCCATTATTGAATACTTACAAATCTTCTTCTAAGCATAAAGCATAATTACCCCCACCACCAAGTACAAGTAAGTCGCTCATACACATGTAGTAGTATCGGTTGAGACCTGCGCATAAATATATACAATTAGAACACCACAAGTTCAAAGAAACACTAGAAGAAAAAAAAAAAAAAAAGATCTCGTACATATAACAAAAGTTGAGAGCTTATTCGGTGAACAGAGATAAGTTAGTTGTTCCTAACATAGAAATAGAGTAAAGTAGTAAGGATTCCTAATGGTTGCAATTTGCACCTCCCAATTAGCCTAACTCATCAATTCTCAAAACTTCAGACACCAAAACATCCAACATTTCTACCTGTCTGCGGTGACAAATTAATATCCTTCTTCATCTACTTACCTTCTCCCCCTATATGTAAACTGTAAATCCGAAAAGTAAAATGGTCAAAAAGGATTTAAACAAAATAACTTACTCATGGGGAAATCCTCTTTCTAAAGAAACAAAACAGGTTTTTTTTATGATCCTAATGCTCATGATTATCAGTGAAGAGCTCATGATCCTAATGCAATGACCCAAAGTACAGGTATAGTCATATTTGCAATAACTATTAAAAACTGAGACTGAATGATTATTATCCATTGATCCCAGACCTTTCTAAATTGCTTACTTAAACTAGAAGGGACATGCAAGAGGTGATAATGGGCCAGTCATTCAATAGGATTCATCTATATTTTACTAACACAAAGATTATTCTTATGTCAAGCTTACGTAGTTCTACATCATAAAAATCCAGGTTCTAGTGAATACTGATAACTGCAATACCAAAATTAAGATAAGATATTTAACCTTAAAACACATGTAAATGTCAATATAGCTGACACGAGCTTGTCCATTTATTCACAAGCTGGACAAAGCATCAATTTAAAACATTTTCCATAGTTCCAACCAATTCCTACCAAAAATTATGCATTTAAATAATGAGAATCCTTACCAGTAGGTAGAAACAGCCTTGGCTGACCATATACAGTTGTAAAGACAAAAGTTTGGTTTGTTCCCTGTCACCACAGTATACAAAACGAAATCATAGTTCAAGATGAAGAAGTGCCTCCATAAAGAAGCATTACCCATAAAAAAGGAAAGCTGACAATACTTGATATTTTCGCTTTGCTGTAGGTTTCAAGGGACAGTCTAACAGCCCACCAAACACAGCACCTTGCATATCTCCCACAATCTAACAGTTTTGCATAACAGACAATAATTCATTGTCAACCAAAGAACTACACCTTCATATGATAATGAAATATCATGTGTACAACATTACAGGGAAATAGTTCTAAAAGATTGACATACCAGTAAACCAGGACAAGAAAGCTCGGCACTCTTGCGGATAAGTGTTCGGAGTGATACTCCATGTTTTAACGTACTGCCCTTAATTTAAAGAACAAACGTTGAATCAATATTTCAAAGCAATAGTAAAATACTGTTCAATGCATAAACCAAAACCTACAGAGAAAAGTTACCTATAAAGTAAGACCCATTGGCGTCCTTTAACTATATTAGGGAGGCATATTTCCAAAAATTCATACAGTTCAGGAGATATAAAAGTAGAGTCATTAGTAAGATTGAGTCGAGACTTCTTTGAAGTATTTGGCGTTTGCTGCTCCTTTGCTTCTTCAAAAACCTCAGAACTGCTACTACTCCTTGTGGAGGCATGATCTTCATTATTATTATTATTATTATTATTATTATTATTATTATTATTATTATTATTATTATTATTATCATTATCATCTTTCACTATGTCCATGTTAGTGCATGTTGGACTACAATCAACATAATTATCCGATGGAATATCCTGATAGTCAAAATTCTCATAATTATATCTAGCAGAAGGTGATTTATTCTCATTTTGATGCTTGCTTGTCTTCGATCCATCAAAGCTGATTGAAGGGATAATGTAAGATAAATACGAAGACATAGGTTTATCTTCTTCAGAATATGGACTATTCTGCAGAAAATATAAACTTCATATCAAAGATAAAAGATAAAAGAAAGTAAAAGGTAAGGTGATTATTTTTCCACCTGGAATATGTACAACAAATTAGTCCAATGTTCCTATAATGAATGGCATTTGTAATGGAAGCAGAAAGCAGTGACAGGACATTTATGAGAAGAAATATATTAAACTTGGTGATGCACCTAAATTTTGAAATGAATTAAAATTATTAAACTTATAAGGCATCATACTCCAAATGAAGTTTGCCAAACACTTGAAAATTCAATATGTCTACCATGATATACTACAGATACACAAAGGGAAGTTGGAATTCTTCATTTCCAACCCATCCCAACAAAATAAACAATGTGCATAGCCCAAAACCCAATCTATATTCTCCAGCACTCGCAGCCAGTCAAATAACTCACGGCCATACGACATATAAAATGTATGCTAACAAAGACACAGACGACAGAACAATAATACTAACCGTCAGTCATGTACACAAGCCATAAAACATAATTCTACATGTGAATACAAAACAGTCACAAACACCCACATACTCAATGACAATTCAAATTAACATCAATGCTGAACTTCCAACTATTGACGAAATGAAGCAACAGAGATTGTCTTTTTTTTTTTTCCTTTTCCTACAATGTCTCTTCGCTGGATTTGATTGAAAAACTCAAAACCGCGATAAAAAATAATGAAGCCAACTTAACCCAAATTCAGATTTCGCACACAGACTCAGATCAGATTGAAAATTGAGGCAAATATGATCAAAGCCAGTGTGCAAGGACAGAATAACAGTGCCCACCACACCAAGCTCATATTTTTATATAATCATTCATTTAATTAAGAATGAAAAACACGATAATGAATAAGCAAACGCGGATCAAGAAAAAAAAAATACCTGGGGCGAGGAGGAGTTGGGAAAGAGATGGGAGAGCTTCTGTGTAACTTTGTCTCTGAAGGAATGCATTTTGAAGAGGCGAGCTATGAATGCGAGTCCATGAAATGGGGATGGAAGAGAGAGTGTTTGTGTTGTAAGGAATGAGATTTGGGAATTGGGAATGAAAGGAGTACGAGTCGGTGCGGTGGCGACAGAAGACGACAACAAACAAACATGTGAGAAGAAGCCCAAAACGTAAATTAAGCAAAACTGATTGATTGGTTGACGGGACAAAGATTTTTTACGTCACCACACAACGTTAAATTAATCTTCACATTTTTATTTTCATCACCAAATTCTTAAATATTTTCTGTTTCTAATATTGTTCCACTATTTTATTTTATCTTTTTAGTTTTCTAGATATCGTAATTATATTATACTGATCCTGTAAGTTTTAATTATATAAATAAAGCTCTTTAAATTTTCTTTAATATTAACAAATTTAAATTATATAATTTATATAATGCTAATAGATTATATGTTTTTTTCCTATTTATACTTTTATCCAAATTATCAGATTAACCAAAAAATTAATGAGCTTTTTTTGATGTATATGAAATTATAATTTATATAAATAAACTACTACAGATAAAAAAACACTTCTTATTTATATTTTTATTATTGCTATTATAAACATTATTAGTATATATTAATAGATGCAATATTTTAATGAATATAAAATATTAAAAATTTCATGATAATTTTAGTGATTAAAAAATGTGAAATAATAAAAATAGATTTGAATCTCCTCGCCATTAATGTTGATAATATAAATGATTAAAAATATGGTATAAAAAAGTGAATATTTTATGTAGATTGATATGATAAGAAGATAATTTTAGTGATTAAAAATATGCAAATCAATTAGCATATATCTCAATCTCCTCGCATTAATACTAATAATATTATTAAGATTATTTTATAATTTTACATCAATATAATAATATATAATAATTTTAATATTAATATAATTTTAAGGTTACTAATTTATTAATATATTTATTCTCCATCATTTATAGTAGTATATATTTCTTTACCACCAATAATATATTAATACTATTATAATTATTGTTTTATCAATATTATAATATTATTAGTATTGGTGTCCAGTGAGATCCACGATGATATTAAACGTCTAATTTATGTATTTTAATAAATAAAACGTATCTGTTTATCATGTATTTTCAACTGACTTAATAATTTATAACAAATACTCGTATATTTATATTTATATCATATTTTAAATTATTTATATTTTAAACTTGTGAACGATGATGATGATGTATGATAAATATAAAATTGTTTAATTAGTTGCAGATAATAATTACATCTACAATTTTAGCTAGTAATTAATTGCATATATCTACTAATTTTCGCTACATTTTCAATAGAGAAAAAAAAAGTACATGAAAAATCATATCTTATCATTCGATAGTGTCACATCACTCACACATGATGAGTACAGTAATACATTATTTTGCGTAATAATAAGAAACTCAAAAAACTTTAATAAACATAAAAAAGCTACCAAATTTGAAGAAATCGGTACGAAAATATAAAAAATACTTTAAAAAACTCAAAATGTTAGGTAGACTCATTCTAATAATATTTTTTCAATAAATACTTTTTTTACTATAATAAATAGGAAAAAAGTCGATTAAAATATTATATATTTGAAAATATAACTGTAGTTTCTATATTGATTATTTTAAAATAAAATAATAAATTGTTGAAAAAATATATCTATAACTTAAAGAATAGGGGGATATTTTACTATTAGATATACTCTAACTATCTTGAAAAGGAAATAAATATCTATTGTCAACATTTATTGAACACTTATTAAATTTTAATACATTGAAAATACATAATTGTGATATTACCAAAATTATTTTTCTACTAATGAAACTTGAGGAACCAAAATTGCTGTTTCAGTAATCATAGATGTTCAGGTACACCATTATATACTTATATATTATATTATGTAATTTTCACTTAACTATTATTTTCATATAAATTGAGAATCAATATAAATGTTTGATTTAATTGTATTTTTTGTTTTAAATTTGTTTTGTTTGTTCTAATTTTGTACTGTGAATGCTAAATTTAAAACGATTACTTTTCAATATTTTATTATTATTATCACTTTCACATACAATATAAAAAAACTGATAGGAATGAGAATATATATATATATATATATATATATATATATATATATATATATATATATATATATATATATATATATATATTAAGGTGAGAATAAAGCCCTACTTTAAAATCTTATGAGAACGGTAGTGTAATGTTTCGGCCCAATCATTTTCTTAAAGAAAAACAAACATAAAACCCAAGCCACTAAATTATTTATTATTTTTATTACACAGTGATCTGTTAAATAAACAAAAATTGTATGCTCTATTTTGTAGGTTAAGACATATTCTTATCTTTTAGGGGCTTTAAGTAAAGATAAATGTTTAATTTTCAATAATTTCACATTGAAAAATATTTATTTACTTAAAAAAATTATTAACTTAAAAAAAATTACAATTTTTTGTTAAAAAAATATTATTTTAAAAATAGTATGAATATAATATTTACGAATTATAAAATAACAAACAGAAAGATATTATGATACTCCTATTAAATTATTTAACAGTAATACGTTAAAAGAATTTAGTGAAAATAAGATTTTTAAAATTTTTTTGAATAACATTAAAATTATTTGTTATCAATTAAACAAAATTTATTTTTTCCCAATAATCATACTTCCCCTAAAAAAAAGCAGATTGGTAACATTTTAATTGAGAAAATTTTCTTAACCAAAACTAAGGATTTTCAGCAATTATAAAAAAAATAGTTTAAAATAATTTTAAATAAAATATTATAAATTTTGAAAGATAAAATTAAAATCACTCCACTTTTTACTTAATTAATTACTATATATATATATATATATATATATATATATATATAAATGGCATAATTTTATGATTGTCCATGCTGAATATTATAAAACAAATATTTCTCTTTGCACATTTGATTATTGACAACATTATTCATTATAAAAAATATATTTTTAATTATTTTCATGAACAAATAAAAAAATGAAATTAATTATAATATTAGATACAATTTTTTTCTTTTAATTTTTCCTAACAATATTATTAATAATATTAACTTTGAAAATTCATGATAAAAGTTTCAGATTTTACAACAAAAAAAATGGAAAGATAAAATGGTAAATACAATATAATTTGTTGTTATTATTTTCTTATAACCTTTTACATTATTTTGACACCACACGTATTTAGTAAACAACTCCTAATTTTCATGAATTTCTTTTGTTATTAAACTTGTTAAAATATATATATTTTTTACAATCAGAGTACGAATTACAATAATAATATTTCTTTGTGTGTTGAGAGGAGTGTGATGAGGTGATTATCCATATAAAAATCTAAATACTAAAGACCAATTACGTAATCATAGTAATTAAGATAATAATTATAAAAAAGTTGTATTTTTTAAATAATATGAGAGTCTATTATTAAAGGACTGAGTGTTGGGCTTTATATTATTAGTATTTTCAATCAAATTGTTTATTTTAATATTTATCGATATATTTTTTAGATAATTACATTTTGTATGTTGAATTATGGTTAGATAAAATAAAAAAAGAAATTATTTATAAACAAATAAAATAAAAATGACAATATAACAAATATTTGATTATTAGTATTAGTAGTAAAATATATGAACATACATGTACAGCCGCTTTTGAAATTACACTAGTTCATATAATACAATTTTATTATATAAAATATTTGTAATATATGAGAGAAATTTAAATTATTAATAAAATTTATAATTATTAAATGTTATTTATGATATTATTACTAATAATTAAAATTCTGATTTTATTTAATTTGTTTCTTGAACAATAGCACACACTCTTGACTAATTTGCTTGAACTAAAAATAGAAATGTGGCAGCTATACTCTTTTTTCTAATTTGTCATATTCTCAAATTACCATTTTAGCCACCTATATTGTTGTGATGTATGCAGTCTCTATCACAAAGAACAATATAAAATCACTGGATTTGTAGTGACTTAGTAAGGACAAAACGAATATTATATTCAACATTTTTTAGTTCAAAACATTATGTTGTTTTAATTTTTCTAAGCATTTGTCACTATATTTATGAGAGAACCAGGTTGATTTTGAAAGGATTAGAGTTTGATTAACAATATTCTGGTAAATATTCAAGCTTTTCATTTTACCCTCGCTTATGTAGGTTATAAAAAATAGTCCCAGCATGTGCCACAAACCAAGATAGTAGTAGAATTGGAAGAGACAGTAATGGATTAAAATGAAATACATGTAAAAGCAAAATGTGCTATATATGTTGTTCTCTCATGTCAAAACCAGATTCCTTTCTCTTCATGCACTCCAAAACCAAGACTTCTCTTAGAGAGGGAGGGAATATTTCCCCCCACTACTTTTATGTCTACTTAATTCAACCACTTTTGTTCTCATTCTCTTCAAATAATTAAAAATTATTCATCATTTTCAAAAACCATACACACCATTTTCAAAACCTATTTTCTTTTAGTATCAACCAGTTATAGGGCACTTAAAAAAAAAAAAAACAGTTATAGAGAGAGAAGAGAGTACATATCTTGTGATATGATACAGCTAGTGCCCTTGGGCACATCTACAGAGGCATTGCCCTGCATTACATTTTGCAATCCAATATCCATCCATCCAATGGAAAGTGAATCCCAATGACACAAAAACCAGAACTTGGAGTCACTCAACCGCGGCCCCCCAAATCCTTTTCCCTCCCAATTCAGCAACAAAGTGGAACAAAATTCCTACCTTCAATCACAACCATTGATTCTTCCTTTCTGCAATCAGACTCTCTCTGATTTAATAGCACCACACCACACACATACTTGAAGCTTTCTCCTTTTCCCCTCCAAATTTGTCATGATTTGATCCTCTGATCTCTCAAAACCACACACCCTAATGGGTCTTCCTATAAAGTCTATATTTATTCTTTTGTTCCTGATTTTGTCCTCAAAACTTGCTGAATCTGCTTCTGATTACACCACCTTGGTCTACAAGGGCTGCTCAAAGGAACCTCTCATAGATCCAAACGGGGTATACTCACAGGCTCTTTCAGCACTGTTTGGCTCATTGGTCTCACAATCCACCAAAGTCAGATTCTTTAAGGCCACCACCGGGAGTGGCCAAACCTCCATGACCGGGATCTTCCAATGCAGAGGGGACCTCTCCAACTCTGATTGCTACAACTGTGTGAGCAGGCTCCCAGTCCTGTCTGACAAATTGTGCGGCAAAACGATAGCTGCTAGAGTCCAGCTCCTAGGTTGCTACATGCTTTACGAAGTTGCTGGGTTTTCACAAATATCGGGGATGCAAATTCTTTACAAGACTTGTGGGGCAACCAATGCTGCTGGAAGAGGGTTTGAGGAGAGGAGAGACACTGCTTTCTCTGTGATGGAAAATGGGGTTGTGAGTGGCCATGGCTTCTATGCAACCAGCTACCAGTCTTTGTATGTGATGGGACAGTGTGAAGGAGATGTTGGTGATTCTGATTGCGGGGAGTGCATCAAAAGTGCTGTCCAGAGGTCTGAGGTAGAATGTGGCAGCTCCATTTCAGGCCAGGTTTATTTGCACAAGTGCTTCATTAGTTACAGTTATTATCCAAATGGGGTTCCTGGAAGGCACTCTTCATCTGCAGCTTCATCATCCTCTAATTCCTTCTCCTCATCTTCTTCTGGTAATAACTAATTTCTAGACACCAAAAGAGATAATTTTGGAAGAAGAGACAGTGTTCATTTCTATTGTCGTGTTGAATTTGTGTTTGTTTGTCCTTGTTCAATTTGACATGCACTCGGGTCAATTTTGTGACAGCATTCTTTAATTATTCCAATGTTCAAACAAATGGTGTATTTGCAACTTTGCTTCCTCAATGTGGATCATATTTTGATTATAAAGTGATTTGTGGCTAATTGATGTAATGGCAGGACAAAATACAGGGAAGACAGTGGCTATAATATTAGGAGGGGCAGCTGGGGTGGCGTTTTTGGTTATATGCTTGTTGTTTGCTAGAAGTTTGAAGAAGAAACATGATGGTAGGTGTTATGCATGGCCATATGGAATGGATGGTTTTTAATATTACCTAGTTCAGTTTGTACTTTTATTTCTATATTTTGTTTTCGTCATTTGACAATATCATTTTCCTGCACAGATTATTGACAGTGGATGATGGTTGACTGAGGAGGCATGATTCTTCATGCAGAGGATTGATTCGATATATATAGCTTTTGGATGAAAGAGATGGGAAATTTCTGGTAATTAAACTTTAGCGGATAGGGAAAAAGAATCCGGGACAGTTAACCTTGGGGGACTCTAATTCTTGTAGTTAGGTAGGATGATTTTGCTGTGAAGAAGGGTGTAATTAGCTCATGAAAGTGACAATTTTTTTTACATTACAAGTGAAAATCAAATATACCTAGAGGAATGAATGTTTGTCATCCTGAATGGGTGAAAATTGTGACTATTTCTTTATCCATTTGGATGATTCTTTATTCCCTTCTCTCCACAGTATCGAGTCTCTATTTGCTTCATTAACTTTAACTTTTTATAAAGTTTCAGCATCCTCTCACTTACCTTCTTTTAAGTTTCCCCTCTCCAACACATGTTTTTGGATTTTGTGTTTAGGGTAGACAATGACAGATACACAACTTCAAGTCAATTCCAATTAACCAAGCATTTAAATTACCGATGGAAGAAGCAAAAGTTGGCACAGTATTTGGGGTTTATTATGTGTGGCATCAGCCTGAAAAGTCTGTGTTAAGTTTATAAACAAAGACAGGAGGGTGTTTAGCTTTGGAATCATGGCATGTGCCTTGAGTCTTCTGCTTTCTTACATAGTTGTGGGAAAATGATGATGTGTTTGGTCTACTTACCAGTATTTCTTTCTCAAAATACTGAGAAGAAAAAGGAAATATCGCCACAGATATGATTCAAACTATCTATATTTTGGGACTAGATTATCTAGTGGAACAGTAATGTTTTCAAAGTTCAGCAATAGTCTATTCAGGGTCCCTAGTACATAAAAAGTTATAAGAAAATATGTTCATCTCTTCACCCAATAATGTCATCAAACTCAATCCTTTTTTTTTTCTGCTACCAATTCAATTTAATGGATAATTAATATATTTTTGGGTTTTCACGAATGAATATAGCTGAAAATGGTTAAGCTATGAAGTTGGGTTTAGGAGTCGTCTAACTTCTATCAGATTATTGTCACCATCTTCTCTTTGGATGAAATCATCAAACCTAATCAATCTTCTGTCCAAAGTTTATTCATCCAAATGAAGAGACATTTTCACTGGTTCTGGATTTAAGCAAAAGATGGTATATTTGTAGTTTGTAAACATACTCCTGATGTCGATAATAATGAAGGAAGGTTTGAAGTTTCAAACAAATACAAGGATAGTTTATTATTAGAAAAAAATTAGGTAACTTTTTTATTGTTATTACCGTTGTTGTTTTTATATTATTGTAATGGATATTATCCTTGTTATTATTCATATTCTAAAATATAAAACCTTTTAGAAAACCGTATTAACTAAGCTTTTTAGGGAAATTATTCCATTAATTAAATTTGATGATATCTTATACAATGATGGTAACATGATCAAACATGAGAAATGATAAATTTTTATTAATTAAAATTTATTTGTACGAGTCTTTCTATAAATATTTTAAAAAATAAAAAAATATTTTTTTTCTTATTTGTATTTTCTAAAATTTTATTTTCTTAATTGTTCTGAGCTTATCCTATCCTAATGGGGAAATTTGAGAAATAATTGTATTTGAACTGTGAGAAATTTGTAGCGAGATCTGATGGTTAATGTGGACAAAACAATTTTATTTCTGCCGAATAATATTGAACATGAACACTTTTATTATTATTTTTAATTCGTAACTTTTTTAAATAAAAAACATTTTCTTCATTTATCTGTAATTTTAATAGTTTCTAATAACAATTATATCCCTATGTTTAAAGAGAATAGCATTAATTTTCATTTTAATAAAAATCTACTTTTTTTTTATATATCCTTTTCATTAGTTCTTAGGGAAAATGTTCACAAAAACTAAATTGAATTAAACTAATATATAAAAAAAGACTCAATTACTTTTTATTAAAAAAAAAAGTGAATTATTTTGTAGTTCATTTTTTTAAAACTGATGTACTTAAAAATAATAGCTCAGTACACTACATTAACTATTATAAAAATTTAAAAAACCACTTATATAATTGTCTACTATTTGTCAATGAAGTCATTGTTTAAGTGATTTTTGAATTGAGATTTTTATTAATAAAATTAAATTTAACTTCATAAGTTTGTTCGTTAATAATAATTACATTGCATTGCCATAAAAACTTGCAGCATCTTTGGTTTTAGCTTCACTAATAGTTAATTTCGTTTCGGTAAGTCTTTGGTATTTATGTAGATTATTAGTTACACTATGTTTATAAAAAAAATTGGTAGTTATATATTACTAAGAAATGAATTTATGTATATGAATTTGACTTGAAAGAAATAATGATAAATTCTTTTTGTCTTCTCTATCTGTGTGTATTAAATTTTTTATTCAAATAATTAATTTAATAAGAAAATAGTTCTGTTTAAAATATAATATAGTTAACTAGACTAAAAAAATAGTTGAACTCAATTTGTTTGAATATTTTTAGTCAATTGAGTTTAATAAATTATTCTTTACTCTAATCTAATTTTTATATAATCTCACTCAATTTTACTTATTTGAACATTTTTACGAATGGATGTTTTAAAAGTTTGCTTATGCAAACTTTTTAACATGATCACCTTTTTTATTTTTTCTAACATATATTTGTCAAGAAAAACCAAAAAACTCAATCAACTATTAATTTTCAATTTGGTTCAGTTCAACAACAACAAAAAAAGTAGCTATAATAATTGGGTTTATAGAAATCATTAAGTAAACTTATAAACAGATTAGTTTATTTCAATACTAATTTTTTTAGTTCAGTTTTTTAGAATTGATTATTGAAGTTTTTTCTACAAAACTAGACTATCTGGTGTGCCACATAAAATTTACATCTTTAAGGTTTCACCTTTCATTTTAGGATTGGTCCTCGAACTCTCTCTATGTAGATATATTTTATTTCGCTAATAAAAAATGACATGTATATTTGATTTTCTGCTATATATAATTAGTTGAATGTTATATATAGAAAGAACATCTTTCTTGAGATTTAATGACAGCTAAAAGAAATTAATAAGTCTTATTTTTTTTTACCCAAAGAGATAATTATGGATAAAAAAGATAAAATAAAAAGATAATTATGGATACAAAAGATAAAATAAGTGGATAATCAGAGAAGACAAAACGGATAAGTTTCAGTGAACTAGCTCGTTATAATATGGCGGGTCGGATTGTGGATTGTTATTTTCAGATCCGTTTTGGCTCGTCCCATCAACCCGTCTGACTAGCCCGAAACCTCGCCTAAATAATAAAAAAATATTTTTTTATTATAATACAATTAATCATAAAGATAATCTATATAATTAAAAATTATAAAAATTTCACTCCTCACTCGTTACAGGAAACATTGTCCTTAATCAAACATAAACTTATTTTTCATTTTATGCTTATTGTTATCATCTCCTCCTTTTTTATCCTTATTATTCTTATAATTATAACTTAAATTAAAGATATAAAAATTATTCAAGATGAGAACAATACAAAGTTTTATCAATAAAAAAAATATAAATATTTAAAATTTTCAATATAAAAAATATAAATTTTACAAGTTTTGATATTATTTATGTATATTTGTTATTATTTATTATTATATAAAATTTATTATTGATCTAAATTATAATTTCTTAAAATAATGTGTTAATTTATATTATTAACTTGAAATATATATATATATATATATATTAAATATTGACAAACAAATTATAATCTTATTATTAAATTTATTGAAAATTTTGATTTTAAAAATATAATTTTTTTTAAATTATCAGAAATCAACCGGGACAAACCAAAATCTATAATCCGTCATGACTATAATAAACACGCAAAAAATGGGACGAACTTGATAACCATTTATATGCACTTACACAATATTCTAACTAAAATTTTGAAGACAATTTATTCTAAAAGTAAACTTATCTCTCAAGGTGCTTTTACATTAAACGACCATGTTAAATTGTTTTATACAAAGGTTAGGCTATTTTCCCATAAAATAAAATAAACTTATGTCGTATTCAATTTAAAAAAAAATTACATATTAATTGTATTATTTTTTAATCTGTGTACAAAAATCTTAAAGGATGTAAGAGTAAAAGTAAAGAAAATAACTCTTCTAAATTTGTAACCTTGAAGCCGTTGATCTGGTACCCTTTAAAAGAAAGACTAGTGTACAGTCAAGACGATTCTCTGGCTTGTAAAGGTTGAAAGCCATTTATGATTCACATCCACTAACAATAGTATAGGTAGTTCTTCATCTCTACTAAGAAAGCTTCCGTTTTTGTTTATCCAAAAAATAGTATAAGTAGTTCACCATCTGTACCAAGAATGCTTCTATTTTTGTTTCTCAGATTGCTCAGTATGTTGAACACGCCATATGTTAGTGAGATGATTTCTATGTCAATAATCTCACTTTTTAATAGCACAAGCAATGCTTACGAGAGCCTAACTACTGCATCTCTGATACTGAAGGTTGAGACTTGAGAGTGTTCTACTTGGAGCTCTTTTGCACACTGATGAGCACTGACCCGAAGCCAATAACAGGATAAATAATTTTGCTTCTTTCCCTTTCAAAATAGCTTTAGAATCACTGTTCATCTGCTGGAGCATTTAAACTGAACACCACCTCATTTGCTCCTTTCACCCTGCCAAAGCCGTGGTCACCGAGATGGCATGTAGCACCACTGAATTGAATTACAATGCTTGATGCAATTGCTAAAGCTAACAAACAGTTGAACTGCAAAAGTTAACTGAACTGACGACGACAGCTTATAGATCACATGGCATTTGTGACAGAGCCACATCATAAACAGTTATAAACTGATTTCTAGTATTATTGCTACTGGCTTCTATTCCCATGGTTATGTCTCAATATACTACTAATAATCATCTTTATCGTCCTTGTTCACGTGGAGTAGTTTAGCATAAGACAAATTTTCATCCTGTAGAGTGCAGAAACAAACTGAAGAGGATGAAAAACCTTTTTAACTCGTTGGCATTGTCCTGTAAAAAGTAGTGACAGAAGAGCATGGTGCATCATTGAAATTGTAACAAAGATAAAGAATCAGTTTAGCAAAAGCAAAACTATGGGATTGGATGGGGAAAAAATGTACTAAGAAAATTATATTATCAGTGATCAACCTTTTTGAGATCACTTTAGGGCATTATGATATGATATCAGTCTCCATTCTGAATTCCCGATTGCGGCTGCACTTCATATATTATAAAATTCATTGGAGGGCTGTTACCATTAACACATGATAATCAAATAACGGAACCTCTTACTACCAATAGTTGCCACAAGAACATTCACCATTTCTAAAATGGTGAAACCTCTTCCTGTCTCTCACAATTATCTCTCGATCTACAACTTTGGAGATAAATTTGAATGCATTATGGCAGTCTCCACATATCCTCAAATTTTTGAAAACCCGAATTGTAGCTCCTAAAGGAATTTTCATAATTCCATAAACAACTGCAAGCTTTTCACTATGAGTAGACAAAGCATTTTCCTTTTGTTCAGATTCCATATCATGTAATACATATTTCGTATCAGGAACATAACCCAATTTCCTCATTTCATGTACCAGTTGCTCCAGATATTTGTACACGGCATGCACCTCAGGGTGTACAGCATCATCAACCAAAAAGACATGAACCATGTTTTCAACCTCAATCCAACTACAACCAGGTTCCTTCTTAACCCCTCGCTCTCTCATTAATTTCCTCACCCTGGCAACTTCATCCCACTGACCTAAAGTGGCATACATATTAGAAAGACTTATGTAGGTTCCATCTTGCTGTGGTAGAAGCTTTAAGAGTTGTTCAGCAGCTTTAATACCTAATTCCATGTTCCCATGAATCCGACAACCAGAGAGAAGAGCCTCCCAAATTGGTGCGCTGGGCTCAAAAGGCATTGATTCTGTGACAGTCTTTGCTTCTGAGAACATACCAGCACGACAAAACAAATCAATCAAACGAGAATAATGATCCTCTTCTGGGGTTATACCATAATGAGCACGCATTGTATCAAAATAATGGCGTCCCTCTTTGACCAAACCTGCATGGCTACAAGCAGAGAGAATTGTGAGAAAAGTTATCCTATCAGGTAATATATCTTCCTTCAACATCTGTTCATAAAGTTGAATGGCTCTGACACCGTGTCCATGTTGTGCAAGAGCTGCAATCATGGCATTCCAAGATACGGAATCCACATACGGCATTGTTAGAAACACTGTATCAGCAGCTTCAACAAGACCACACCTTGCATACATTGTAATCAGTGCATTGCCAACTGAGAGGCTTGAGTCATGACCTAATCGTATTATCTGAGAGTGTAGTTGTTGTCCATTGTCTAATGATCCAAGAACAGAACAAGAGGCAATTGCTCCAGCATATGCATAATCACATGGGTCCAGTCCCTCTAACTTCATCTGGTTGAATAGCTTCAAACCTTCTTCTCCAAACCCATTTTGTGCTAAGCCTGATATCATCACAGTCCACGTCAACAGGCTTCTCTCCGGCATCTCCCTGAAAATGGTGTTAGCTTCCTCAATGCACCGGGCATTGACATACCCGGACAAAATCGCATTCCATGAAACAAGATCTTTCACAGGCATCTTATCAAAAATTCGCTTTGCCTCAACCAGTTTACCACATTTAGTGTAGAAAGTAATCAAAGCATTATTCACAGATAAAACAAAATGCTGTGAAGGTTTCACCACTGTTCTGAGAACGTAAGCGTGCACCTGACTTCCAATATAGAACAACCCAGCATTAGAAGCAGCACTAATTACACTGGTGTAAGTGTACTCATCCAGCTGAATTCCCAATGAATGCATTCTCCTTAACAAATCAAACGCCTCCTCATAGAAACCTCTGTGCACATACCCAGAAATCATGGCATTCCATGCCACCGCAATGTGATTAGTCATTCCATCAAGAAGCTTACGTGCGGCAACAAGATCACCATTCCTGACATAGCCAGCAATGATGGTAGTCCAAGAAGGTTCATCCCTCAGACTAGTTGATGCCTCATCAAAGAGCTTCCTAGCAGCTGCCATCAACAAACATGAGTCCACCAAAGGCGAAGAGGCGCAACAAACATAACAACTCATCAAAGCATTCAACACAGAAGGAACAGAGAGTACACCCCTCTTGACAACCTCGCAGTGTAATTGCTGACAATGCCTCTCTTCATCAGCTATCAGGGACAGGGCGCCAAGAACGCTTGAGAAGGTAAACGGGTCGGGAACAAAACCGAGCCTTTTCATTTGTATGAAGAGTTGCAGAGCGGCATGACCATCATGGCTGTGGGAAAATGCAGTGATCATGGCGTTGTAACTGACGGTGTCACGAATGGTCAAGGGGGTGACCTTGAAGAGTTGGTGGGCGAGTTTGATGTTGCCGGCAACGGAGTAGGCGGAAAGCAGGGTGGTAGTTGCGACAATATCTGGTTTGGGAATTTTGTCGAACAGGTGGCGGGCGTAGGGGATGTTGGAGGATTTGCAGTAATGATCAATGAGGCGGTTGATGATGAGAGGGAACGACTTGAAACCTGAGGTGACGATGTGAGCATGGACGGCACGTGCGAGGGAGGTGTGGGTGAGTTGGGCCAAGTAACGATTGCCCATTGTCCGAACGTCCATGTTCGTCATCACAGAGCCTCCTCATTCAAACCGCGTAGGTCCGCATGTTGCGACCCATCGGAGCCAAGTATTGGGCCGAAATCACTGAGTTCCAGTAACTGAAAGGAATCCATGATTTGAGACATTCTTTTCTTCTCCTAATATGGATTCACGAATTATCGATGGAGAATGGTTGCTTTTAAGGTTGATTAGAATGGTTAAGAAAAAGGGTACGTGGAAAAACAAATTACACGTGAACCTGAGTAGCGGAGAGGGGAAATGGAAAAGGTGTGGCCATTGTAGAGAACCCTAAAAAGGAAGCGTCCTGTCCCCTCCCCCAAGCAAAACCTCAACTAACCTCACCTCAGATCCCCTTGAGATCTGCAGCACAGCAAGAGGGTGAGATTTGAGAGAGAGAGAGACTTTGACTACCTGTTAACGGTGAACCGAACAACTCACTCATCCACATGATGTCAAATTAATACACTGACGGCTTTATATATATATATATATATATATATATATTCTTAAATATAAAAGTACAACAAATATTGAAAGCACATAAAAGTGATTAAATAGGAAATGGGAATGGAAAAATGAAGAGGTGAGGAAGGGGAAAAGAAGCGTTGAAAATGTGGTTGAATTGAATAAGGAATGAAGATAATTAGGTGGCGTATATATGGACCCCACCATTCCCCAGGTGCAATGCAATGCAATGCTACGCGGGAACGGAAGGGAAGGGAAAGGAATCGATCACTACTTTGACTCAATCTCATCATTCCTTTTCCTCCAAATCAATCGCACGCCTTCTTCTCTCTCTTTACACTTATTCTCTTCTCCGATCTTCCTTTTCCGCATCTTCCTCCTTACTTTACTTTCTTACCAAACCAATCAAGTTCGTAATTTCAATCTTTTTTTTTTTTTCATTTTTTATATTTTTGTTTTTACCACTTGTGCCTATCAGTCTATATATGCTACTTTTGTTTATATTTCTGTTTTTGTTGTGTGTTTTGAACTGTCAGTGTATCCCAAGGTGAAGCTAAAAATATCATCAGTCAGAACTTAGTACTGACCTAAAAGTTGCTCTTCAAGCTTATTGTAGCCTGCAGAAACTCCAAGATTCTATTTAGACATGCAAATTGTCGACCTTTTATGACTAAAAAATAAGATAACAGTAACATGTAATGTATCCATTTCAGCCATGTTCTTGCAGCATATGCCAGTTTTCTCTGGAACATTGGAGATGATGACAATGAAGATTGGAAACATAAAATTCAGGTGCTTTTCTCTATTCTGAATTCTGTCTTTAGGGGTCATTCTGTCTTCCGAATGACACGCATTGATAATTTAATACTCACTGTTTATTTCTAAGAGCAGAGTGACATGGAAAATCGAAAGACTGAACCTGTGAAGCCCTCCAAAGAAAAAAGTGATCTAATCAGCCAATTCTCGGTTCTTTCAGCTAGACAGGAGCTTGATGCATCACATAATTATGGTGAAGAAAGTAACGTTGAAGATTATTTTAAGAAGATGATTAATGAACATCCAGATAATCCTTTGTTTCTAAAAAAGTATGCTCAGTTTCTGTTGCAGGTGAGGTTTTTCATTTTATTTTAAATGTACCAACACACGTATGCTTCTTAAGCTGTCTTAATATTTTGACTGAAAAATGTCTTACCACATTAATCTGATTTTTTTTTTCTAACACATTTTGTTTTGGTTTGTTGGGACGAAATCCGAGACAGAATACTCATTTATGGCTTGAAACAACAGCCATCCTCTTACAGGGGAATTTGACAATAGTCGAAACAGACAACAATCGAGGCACAAACTATGATTAGTTAGATGAGCCTCTCTCCATCTAATATTAAATTGTTAACGAGTAGCCCCTTCATATGAGTCATAACTACCATAATAAAAATAAAAAATGTTTGTGTAAACTAATTGTTATTACTTACTTTATGATTAGAGAATTCTGAGTCTTGTTAAATGTACAGTCCAAGAGAGATCATCAAGCAGCAGAGGACTACTACTCACGTGCAATAGTAGCTGATCCCAGTGACGGTGAAATGATATCAGAATATGCCAAACTAGTATGGGAACTTCATCATGATCAAGAAAAAGCTTCGTTTTTATTTGAACAAGCAGCTCAGGCTTCCCCTGGGGATAGGTACAGTTTGAGACACATCTTACATCAAATGTTTTGCTACATAACATGTTTATCATTCTCCAAAATAGGAGAGAAACATTAGTAGGTGGCTAGGCCCTTCTTAATTTAGAGGTTGAAAGAATTGTTTAATCATCTATAACTGGTGTGCAGTGCTCAAATTCTGAACAAAAAGAATATATCCTTTATATAAATAATTAAGATGCAACTGTTTACAACTTCTCTTCTTTCAGCAATATTCTGGCAGCATATACCTGCTTTCTCTGGGAAACAGATGATGGGGAAAGCTGAAATTTATAGGCAGAGCCATGCTCAAGTGATCTTCTGCGAGAAAATATGCCAAATGAATGTTCGTGATTACAGGTGAATGAAGAAACAATACACACAAGCAGCACACGGAAGCAGCAAGCGTAGCTCATCCAGAATAAAGAAAACCATATTTCTTGACTAACTGCATTTTTTTGCCCGAAATGTTTCATTTTTTCTAGAATAACATGTATCCAATTGCAGCAGGACAAGAATAACTTACCAAATTATTTATGGTTATGTTGAAGCCAAAGTGATGCCAAAATGAAATTTTACTTTTAGTTTGATTTTGATACTTATTCCGTGTTTCTTCGGTCCCACGGTGGGGGTATCAGAAGATGGGAAGCATTTTGCTATAAACCTAATCCTACCGATAAGGGACAGATGAATTTTAAAAATTAAATAAATTATTTGAACCGTTTATTATTTCTCATATTTCCTTCAAGTTATCTCCATAAAATAATAAAGACCTGAAATCAATATATAAAATTTACAAAATCACGTAAGTGATGGGGAAAATTACTATATTTAAATTGGCGATAGAAACAACTGCAGAACGTTTCAAAACACAATGCAAACTAAACATAAATTTCGTGAACAGACAAATGAAACAAAACGGCCCTTACATTAAAAATAAATAAATAACAAACAAACAAATTCCCCGAACATCATAATTTAAGGCATAAAAAAATATCGATATTTGGTCCTTAAGATTTTATCCCATGAAGCGTTGTCGACATTTCCTCAACCTTAGCGTGCTTCTCTTCGATTGGTTCCTTTTTATATTATATCCCTAGTGTAGTGTTTTCGCGGGTGTTTTCGTGCTGGTTCTAAGGAGAGCGTTGAGTTAAATGTTAGCTTGGCTTCAGCTTCAGGTTTAGTAGATGAATTTACCTTTGCACCAGAAGGAAAGGAAAAATGGGGCAAGTTTGGTAGAGTTTCGAATTTTAATGGATAGAGAAATAATTGACCATAACATCTATTTATCTCATATTTACTTTATTTAATATTGGAGAGTTTAGAGAAAAGGGAAAGTAATTCAAATAATTTTATTCTTTAATGACTAAATTATTCTAAAAATTCAAAATTTACCTTTCATGTGCTATTTCTAAGGACCCTTTGACTTCATGATTTTAAAACATCTATATTCTATCTCTATCCTATTTCCTTCGTTTAGTCTTTAGATTAAACAGGGTACAATAGAAATAATGTAAGATGTAACGTGTTACTCTTATCACGCGAACGGTATAAATTCAAATGTGAAAACCATCCAGATGACATGCAAGTCAAACATATTAAATGTATGGGAGTTGAAAGCCATGAAATGAAGGGTGACAGCAAAATGTGAGACTAATAGCATTGTACTGGGAAACAGAGACTAGGACCTCTAGAACAATATATGCATATTGTGGAAGACTTGTTTTAACTGTATAGAGTTGAATTGCTAACTAACGAGTGCAGCGTGGAACCTTGCACCTGGAAATATTACCGTTATTAAAACTAAAATGAGCAGTTCGCATTATATATATATATATATATATATATAATATACATAAAAAACATAATATACGTGTTTGCTTCCCAAATATTCATTTTTTATACACATTAAATACCGCGAAGCACTGCTATGTAATATTCTTTCCTTAACCAATCTTACAAAAAGATTAAATATGGGGGAGGAATGCAAAACATATGACACTTCAGGCATTCGCTTCTTCCTTGAAGAATCTTACACGCGCGCATCAAGTGGATATTGAAAATATTAGTAAGGTAAGTATGAGGCATGCAGAGTTCGTTACATTACATGAAACACCAAAGCAAACACCATTCTATTCTCTCTTTTTCTATGGCAAGGAACCTAATCCTAGAATAAGACCATACTACAATTTGATCGCCAAAAACTGGTAGCTAGCCATGCACCTAGATTACACCAGAACTAAAACTTCCAGGGCACCTTTTCGAATTTTATGCTACCTTTATGGACCTTTTTCTTTCCTACAGAATCAATTTCATCTTTAGACCCAGGCTCCCTGGGTTTCTTAGTCTCTGGAGGAACATCAGAAACATCATGTGATTTAACTTTACAGTGTGCATGTCTATTTGGCAATATAACACCATTCTTTGAAGCAGAAAGTCTTCCATCTTTAATCTTGTTTCTATTCCCAATAATTATGTCATTATCTAAATACAAAAATTGAGAAAGAATTCAAAGGTCAGCTCTGTAAGAAATCACGTAAGAAACTGATATCTAGCTAACACCCAGATATTTCACATTCCATATAAAAAGCTAGAATCAGTATTCAACATAATAATTAATGCTGCTCTCCATAATTATAACAATCCAATTTTCCTTGCTAAATATTTTATTCTTGCACCAAGTAATAAACAATTGATTTGTCTTTTCTTCTCTAACAACCAGGAGTGGAAGTTACTTTGAAGTATTTGAGGTTTCGTATAAACTTTCAGAACTATGAGATGGTGTTTTTAGAGACTTAGCTCTCACTTCATGTGCACATTGGTTTGGAAACAAACCTTTATTAATTTGCATTGATTTAAAACAGAAAAGAGGAAGCCAGCTTCTGTAACAAACTATATAACCAGCCTAGATATTAATTTGCATTGAGTTTCAGTTCTCTTTAAAGTAGGTTTGGGGTTTTATCTGAAATTTCATTTTTTCAACTGAGTATTGCATCCTTTTAGAAGAAAATTACTCTCATCTTTTCTAACAGGATCTCTATGAGCAAGTACTTCACTCAGCTTTAATGGCCAATCAAAAGAAACCCGAGACATTCTTATGTATACTATAAATCATAATAGTTCTTATGATCTATGTACTTTTTATCGGATGAACATTCTTGTGATCTTTATGTCAATCTTCAGATTCAAATATTCAAATTGTAAAAGGCATCTGGTACATATAGAATTTAGCTAACAAAAAATTGGATGAAAGTGCGAGATTTTACCAGGACTAGAAATGACAGCACGAGGGGGAGGAATTGAACTGGCTCTAATATTCACTTTATTTTCATCAGTACTGCCATTCTTCTCAGATCCTGTAGTTACCGAAGAATCAGATGCCGAACTGAAGTCTCCAGAATCTTCTTCAGTTACGGGTACTCTTGGAATAGGTACATGCGGCACATAACACTTTGGTACTTTGACAACAGAGGGCATGGAGACAACTTTGTGGTCTGTCACTGTAAAATCAGACAGTAGCGATTCCTTTCTATATTCAGTAAAATGAATATGATAGATAATAATGGCCCACAGCAATTTTTACTGACTAGACGAATGAAAATGTTTAGCATAATAATAGAAATCTTGCTAAATGGAATATAAACCACACTCTCCACCAGCAAACTCAGGTCAAAACACAGTGAAAAACCAACTATTAATTAAACTAACAAAATGGAAAAGGAAAGGAAAACAACATCAATCACTCATCCACGTGATTACTACCCCAACTATTGTTTTAAATAACTTTAAGCATGAGGATTAATGTAGATAAAATCAGGACAATCCGTGCATTAAGGAACGTAAATCATACAATCACATAAAAGGTTGATGTCAACGCCAACTCTTACAATAACGTAAGCTCTTCCGGGTCTTATAAATGTTTCTTCACAGCATTCTAGTTGCAAGTTAAAACCAGCAAAAGAAAATGAAATAAAACACAAAAGAAAGGCTTGAATCCAATTTTACTCAATATTTTCTTCAGTCCAAAATTCGGGTTTCTCATTTTAAAGGAGAGATATTTGATCTCCTATTTTAGAAAATTACCTATTCTGCTTTGATATTTAATTTATTAAATTGAAACTAAACATATCATATTCATTTAAATTAATATGATTTTTTTAATTAATCATAATGTAAAAAAAAAAACACAGACAAAATTGACAATGGATCAAAATTGAGAGTTTTTTTGTAAAAGGAACATATATAGAATTTAAACAGGGAAAACAAATTCCAAATTGAATAAAAAAAATGATTAGAATTGAATTTAAACCAAAACAAAAATAGAAATACCTGGAGAAGATGGGTGCAGATACAGAGAGAGGAAAGCTTTGAGACCAAGTTCACCGTCGTCATAGTGTCTTACCTTCACCTTGGGATACACTGACAGTTCAAAACACACAACAAAAACAGAAATATAAACAAAAGTAGCATATATAGACTGATAGACATAAGTGGTAAAAACAAGAATATAAAAAATGAAAAAAAAAAGGATTGAAATTACGAACTTGATTGGTTTGGTAAGAAAGTAAAGTAAGGAGGAAGATGCGGAAAAGGAAGATCGGAGAAGAGAATAAGTGTAAAGAGAGAGAAGAAGGCGTGCGATTGATTTGGAGGAAAAGGAATGATGAGGTTGAGTCAAAGTAGTGATCGATTCCTTTCCCTTCCTTTCCGTTCCCGCGTAGCATTGCATTGCATTGCACCTGGGAAATGGTGGGGTCCATATATAAGCCACCTAATTATCTTCATTCCTTATTCAATTCAACCACATTTTCATCGCTTCTTTTCCCCTTCCTCACCTTTTCATTTTTCCATTCCCATTTCCTATTTAATCACTTTTATGTGCTTTCAATATTTGCTGTACTTTTATATTTAAGAATATATATATATATATATATATATATATATATATATATATATATATATATATATATAAAACCGTCAGTGTATTAATTTGAAATCATGTGCATGAGTGAGTTGTTCGGTTCACCGTTAACAGGTAGTCAAAGGTTGCTCAATTTTTTTTATTTTTTTACAAAAATAATTCTTCCGTCATATTTCATGAAATCTTATGTTATATCATATAAATTATCGAAATTCAACGTTTATTTTAACTTACATAAAATTTATAGTATTGATTAAATTGAGTACTTTTAGAAATTTAAAATGAAATTATTTTCAACAAATGGAAATGAAAAATGCTTTTGCTAATCTGCTTCCAGCATTTTCTATTTTTTTAAAACAAAACAAAAAAATGAAGTTGAAACACGTTTCATTAAAGTTTAAAAAACAATGAAAATAATTTCAACAAACAAAGCAAAATTTAAAAATAGAACATTTGTTTAATGTTTTTTTATCGTGAGTATCCGTTAAAGTTCCCATTACTGCCACTGAATTTGCTAAACCATTACTATTCCTGATTCAGTAACATTTTTTTCTTTGATTTTGAAATCAATATATACACTTGAATGCCATTGATAGAGAAACATTTAAAATCTGGTGTTGGGATAGAAAAATCATAGCTATAAAATAGGCAATTACCCAAATGACATAGATATGAAATAAATTTAAATAATTATATCATCTGTGATAAATCTTTATTTATATTATAAGTTATTATATTGTATATAAAATATATAGATATTTTGTACAAAATATATTAGAGGTATTTCATTATGTCAAATTAATGACCCAATTATCCAATAAAATTCAATCTGAGTTAGATTTTCTTATATTTTAAAGTAAAATCTAATTATGATTTAATCTTTTACAAGTTAAATGACGATTTTTATAGATTGAACTCAAAACCTAATTTGACACAATTAAAATTATAAAATAACGTTAACAAGAATAATAAAGCTAATACATTTATTATTTAGTTTGTTTAATTATTTTGTTAATTAAATATCTATTTTAAAACTGTTAAATTATATAAATAGTAAATCACATACTCTATTGTTTACAAATATATATTATATAAAGCAACCAAAAATAAATAAATTTTTTTACAAAAATAAAATAAAATGATGAGAGATACTTAAAAAAAACTTAAACTATTAGTAACCTTTTAATAATCAATTTTTTAAAATCTCAAAGAACACATACTTATAATTGTTTAAATTGAAACTTTTGTATTCAATCAGTTCCAACTATGGATCAAAGTTAACTCATACATGTGGATCCATCCATCCTCTTTCCAAATTTAAAAAGAAAAAAATTGAGTTGAACATGGATGAGACTATAGGAGTGCAGGTTTGAGTTTTTCCTGCTTAAAAAAATAAAAAAATTGAGTTGAACATGAATGAGACGATAGGAGTGTGGGTTTGAGTTTTTCCTGTTTTAAAAAATTGGGAACGGATGATACTGCAATTTTCACCCGTTTATTTTGTCAAATTTTATATTTAAATTTAAATTTTTAAATATTAAAATTTTTAAATTTTTTTCTATTACGTATAATGTTTTTTTTTTATATTTTATCATTCTTACTTTTCTTCTACTCACTTTTTAATTCTTTTTTCTTTTATATCAATTAGTTCATTACATTATTCTCTTTCTCTTATGTTTCACGTTTTCACATTTCTTTAATCTCTCTAATCATTTTTTTCAATCTTTTCAAAAAACTTGATAAATACAAATTCTTTTATTTATCTTTTTCTAAAAATTTTACATAAATTTTAATAACTAATATTATTTGATTTATAATTTGTCTTTATTAGATTTTATCATGTTATATTTTTTGGATCTTATTATTTTTATTTATCATATATCAAATTTTATCTTAATAAAATAATTATATTTTAAAGGATTAAAAAATTTTATAATTTAAATTTTTATTATTTAAAAATAATTAAATAAGAGTTAACTTATTAAATATTTTTTTATAAATTATATATTTCATATTTTAAAATGAAAACTTAAAAAAGAATTAACTGTTATATATATATATATATATTCAAATGTTTGAATATATAATAATAATAATAATAATAATAATAATTTTATAAATATTTTAAAAATAATTAAATATTTATTTTACATATATATTTTAATATAAATATAATAAATTAAAATATATATTTAATTAATAATAATTACAAATTATAAAATTATAAATATATTTATATATAAAAAATATAAAAATAGTAAAATTAATTTATTATAAATATAATTATTTATAAAAAAATAATATGAATAAAAAAATTAGGATGTAAACTTAATTTGTAATCCAAACTAATATTAAGATGGTTAAAAAAGTGGTAGTGTAAATATATCTTATTTTTATCATAAATTGTTTTCTTTAATTAACAGTAGTTATAGTTTTGCCAATAATTAGAGGTTTCCGCTGTCATGTCTATTTCACAAGTCCCCTCTGTCATGCCTATTTCACAAGTACGAAGAAATTTGTAATAAGATAAATATTTTAAAATTCATCTAATTCATAAGTTGTAAAAAATACACTAACAAATAAAAGAATGAACATGCTTAAGAGGAATTAAAGAATTACTGTGAATTTTGCAAAACAATATCAATCAATTTTTTTTTCATTTTTACAGGTTTTCTTAAAAATATAAATAGCCTTTTCACATCGTGAGTCTTTCATAAAACTCCTTTTTATTGGCCTTTTTCATTTGTTTTATGTTAAATTCTACTTAAATTTTCTACTCCTTGTAATGCTCAAAAAATTATTTTAAAAAATTATTATAAATTTTTGTCATTTATACGTATTGAATTTTTACCTTATGTAGAGATGAATTTAAAGTACTTTGTACTATTCAAATCGAACCGTTATCCTTATCGAAACAATTTTAAATATAAAGTATCATTAACTACCATATTGGACACAATAATCATAGTATCATTTTTCTTTAAATTGTATTTATTATTCATGTTGAATGTTATCATTTTGTAAACATCATTGTAGAAAGAAAATATTAATAAATATTTTCTCACACAATAGAATGTTAGAAACATAAAATACAAAGAAACGGAAAGACGAAAAAATAATGTTGCTGATAAAACTCCATTTATATATATACTAGTTTATGAAAAAAATAAAAAAGACTAATGTAGAAAACATTTTATTTTATTTTTATAAAAAAAGACCATGTCTGGATTTAACAAAGAAATATCAAAATAATTAATATTAGACTGAGTTGATTTATTAACCCTATTAAAAATAAATTGAATATATCTACATTATCATAATAAAACAGTGTTTACATATTCATCCAGTTATATTTAACTATTTTACCACTCGATTCTAATCATTAGATGATAAGATGAATTATGATTAGCTAACTAGTATTAGTGTCATTTATTTCATTCTAGATACAAAATCTGGAACAAAACTTGGATAGGTGGATCAAATTTATTAATTAAAAAAGTGTAAAAGCCTAATTTAAGGCATGAAAACCCCAAACACCCAAAATATCTCATTTTGGGGATTGAATGAAGAAAAACAAATATAATTAAGCCATAAAATTATGATATGTGTGGAGCAAGGGAGATTTGTGGACAAAAAGAGTGAGATAGTGAAGTGGGAAAAGGCATAAGAAAAGGAGAAAGGTACAGTATGCGTCTTCCTCCATCATCCAGCAATATGATATCATCAACAACACAGTTCCAGACAAAACAAAACTAAAACCCAACACAACATATCACAAACAACATTAACTATACAAAAATCTCTCTCTCTCTCTCTCTCTCTCTCAAATCTCACCCTCTTGCTGTGGTGCAGATCTCATGGGGATCTGAGGTGAGGTTAGTTGAGGTTTTGATTGGGGGAGGGGACAGGACGCTTCCTTTTTAGGGTTCTCTACAATGGCCACACCTTTTCCATTTCCCATCTCCGCTGCTCAGGTTCATGAGTAATTTGTTTTTCCACGTACCCTTTTTCTTAACCATTCTAATCAACCTTAAAAGCAACCATTTTGTTTTGTTCAGGTGGGTACATACTTTGTGGGGCAGTACTACCATGTTCTTGAGACCAAACCCGAGTTGGTGTATCAGTTCTACTCTGACACCAGCACCATGCTACGCATTGATGGCAACGCCAGGGACACTGCCACTGCAATGCTGGTTCGTTTTTTTTTTTTTTTTTTTTTTTAAAGGATATTTTGAATTTTTTTATAGACTTGTATTTTGGCCTTTATATTGTGGTTGAATATGATTGCATTATTGGAAATTTCATTATTTGGAATATGTTATTGGACATTTTCCGCTTTTCTATCATCTTGTTCTAGCTTTGTCTTGTGTGGTATATAATTTTGGATTAGAGGTTCTGACAGCTGTTTTTAAATGGTTTTAGTATACTAGTCAATTTATTTATTGGTAAAAGGGATTGGAACGTTTTCTTCTGTTTTGTATCTGTGCAATTATAGTGAAGCTCTTATTTCCCCCAGAATAAAAGAAATTTCTCTCTGGGCAGCAAATCCACGCACTTGTTATGACACTCGATGTCACTGGAATTCAAATCAAGACAGTACAATGTCTGGATTCTTGGAGTGGTGGAGTTCTTATATTGATTTATGGTTCTCTGCAACATAAGGGCTACAATGTGAGGAGGAAATTTATGCAGTTGTTCTTCCTTGCACCCCAAGAAAAGGGCTACTTTGTGCTTAATGATATTTTTCACTTTGTGGACGAGGAGCCAGTTCATCATCACCAATCTGTATTTATGACTCAGAGCAATTTTGATTCAAAATTGAATGCTCCTAGGACAATTAATAAACCAGGTATGTTCTGCTTCAGCCTTTGGGATCCTTTTAGTATTTATTGAATCTTATAAATATTGCTTTAATTGTTAGTTATTATCAGTAGAAGATAAATTAAAAGTGAAATATTGTTTCTACTGCTATATTTCCTTAGAAGTTAGGTCTCTGTGACTTTCTACTGTCATCGTGGATGATCCCTGTTCTTTTATGTGGACTTTTTATATGATTTTGTTTAAAACCCGACTTAGACTGGTACTCTACTATTCTTTAGTTGTGTATATTGCTTGTCCCCGATGATCTGGTAGTTCTTAATATGTAAAGTCAGAAAATGCAAGTTAATGAACTTGGTTATTCCCTTCTTTGGATTCCTAAGTTATTATCATCTTCACTTGCATTGCATCTGGTGCTACAGATAACTATGTAGCTTATTACGACAGGGCTGTATTTATAGTCAAATGTTGTATTTTGACTATTTTCTGCGCCATCATCATCCATCACTAGCCATAATTACATTCACAAGTGCATTCATTCTGTTATCAAATTGAAATTTATCTTTTAAGTTCTATTTGGATAAACTTCGGAAATACTTCCAGAGAAGAAAATGAGAAAGTGAAAAAAAAAAAAAACCTTTCTCACAAGTGAGAATAAACTTATGCACTTCAATGAAGATCACCTGTTTAACTTCTCTGAAAATTGACTTGCATATGTTGATTTTAACTAATGGGAAGAAAGTTCGATTTTTTTTTTTTCTTCTTTTACACGGTTTGGGACTTAGTCTAAATGGTAACTATAAATTTCTACCAAAGAGTTTCTAGCTTTGTATATTTGAACCATATATCCATAAGAATTTAGCCATAAAAGTGGTTGGTGGTAATTTTGTTTTATAATGAACGATGAGTGAAGTTTCATTACAAACTGCATTTATTGTTGATAAATGATTTTATAAAACATTAAAACTTCAAAAACTTTTACTTATGATTTTTGTTTGTTTTATAACAATTGTGACTGGTTATGGAGTATAATCAATTCTTCAAACTGTAGTCTTTTATGTAATTGAGATCTATGAGTTTTAATTTTACAGTGTCCAACTACCTGTTGGGTGGAGATATAAAGGCAAGGGATTTTGTTGCTACAAATCAGATCAAAGAAAATGGTGCGGTCAATAATTATGGGCAGAAAAGGCCACAAGTTCATTATTCTGAACATATTCAGGAAGATGTTCTCGCTGAAGAGTCACATGGTTTACTTCAACCTACTGTGAATGCTGTGCAAGAGGATGTACCTTCTTCTGCCGAAGAACCTCCTGAGGAGCCCCAAAAACATACTTATGCTTCCATTGTATGCGCAAACTAATGAATAGATTCTTTCTGCTCAATGTTTTTCTTTTGAGATTCAGTTATGACTTTGGAACTGACTATGTTATGAAACTTTTGGAAGTTACAGGTTCCTAAAAGACAAGCTACACCATCTGTAGCTTCTCAGCCATCTCAGAATAATGTGCCTTCTTTGGACTGGGATCATTCTCCACTGACTAATTTTCAGCCAACACTGACATTGACTAATGCATTTGAAAGGTCTGAAACTGATGCAGTGGAGGAGATTCCTACAACTGAAGATGAAGGTTACTGTGTGTACTTGTTGAGATTAATTCATTCAATTTTTCTTTATATAGTTACTCATTGGTGTTGATGCCCATTTATGCTGGCTCATTACATTTTTTCACTAATACGCTAATTTGTTTAAAAGAATCATCACATGCCTGTAGTAGGTTTTATTACCCATTTATTAGTAACATTTTATTTGATTGAAAATGCCTTCAGATGAAATCAAATCTGTTTATGTGAGAAACTTGTCCCCTACTGTGTCTGCTTCTGAAATTGAAGAGGAATTGAAGAATTTTGGCAGGATTCGGCCTGATGGTGTAGTCATAAGAAGTCGCAAGGTAGGTTTTTACATCTTCAAATCATTGTAGTCAACAACATGTGATGGTGCTGCTATTGCAGCTTTGCACTTTAAATTCCAGCCACATGTGTCTGGCCTGTAGTGAAGCAGTTTTGTGTATCAGTGTAAATTTTAGCTGCTTTCATGAGCAGTTGTAGCCATTTCATTTTTTATTCTGTTTGCAAACGGAAGTTCCTCTTCAGTCCCTGGAATGGTGTCATTTTGTGCTTTTTTTATGGGGAAAATCTTGGGATTTCATCCCAGTTTGTGCAAATGAAAGTTCCTCTTCAGTGCCAATTGGAAACTCTATTCCTATCCTCACTTGCATTCCCTGCCCACTCAGAGAAAAACGCCAACTCTTCTCTCTGATGGAGATCCATCTTTCCATGGTGATATTTCTGACATCATCACACAGCATTCTTCGGGCATTCACTAGATGAGCTTGCTGCAGTTCTGGCGAACCCCTGAGTCGAACAACATTGCTCTGTTTTATCCTCTGTTGCTTCACCACTCAGTCTGTAAAAGAATAGGTCTTTTATTCCGTGTTCTGTGCTCTCCTGTTCTTTTAAACTCTACCCTTTAATTTTTATTTGCTCTAAATTCTAATTGGGATTTTCTTCCCATTGGTCAACAAAATTGGCTCCTTCCATCCATTATGAATGTCTTTAATGTTAGGTATTTGTGTTGTAATTTATGTAATGCTTAACTTCAAAATAGAAGTTATGGGGCTTTGCTTTGCTATTTGGGAATGACTACTATGCTGCAAATAACTATTTTAGTTCATTATTGAATTTGTATCCCATTACAGATCTAATTTTTCCAGTTATCTCCAGGAAGTCGGAGTTTGCTATGCATTTGTGGAATTTGAAGATATGAGTGGGGTTCATAAAGCGGTCAAGGTTTGGATTTTGTTTTAGTTGATTAATTTATGTTATCTACTGCTTTGGTTTTAATAATTTGTGTTAATATCACCCCTCGTTTAGAAAAAAAAAATGTTAAACATACTAGTTGCTCACAATGGTTACACAAGTTCTCGATCTGCTATGTTTTATCTAACAGACTACACTGTTTTCACCTTTCAAATCACATTTTTCCAATTTCATTGGATGTAGACTCATGTTTGTTGTATGTTTACAGGCAGGATCTGTTGAAGTAGCAGGAAGACAAGTATATATTGAAGAGAGGAGACCAAACAGTAATATCCCTTCCCGAGGAGGAAGTATGTCTTCTTCTTTATTGTGTTTTTTCTTCAAATTTTCTCTGTTCATGAATATCCTTGACTCAAGATATAATACTTGGTTAAAATGACAGTTCAGAGAAATAATAAATATATTAGATCATGTTTGGGAAAACTTTTTTTCTTCTCTTTTTAGCTGTTGTTAGCTACTATTTTTTTGCTGCATTCGAATAAAAATTAATTATCTTAATTTTTTGAAGTAAACTTATCCAATAAAAACTAATTCTAAATTCTAATTATTGTGACATGGACAAAGAAATCTTATATTGTTTTGAACCACATAACACTTCAAATATTTAAAGTTTACCTTGTCTAATTTTGACATTGGTTAAGCAGAGATGACAACTAGCCTCCCTGTTTGGCTCCAGAAGCCTGTTTTTTATCTGCATGGTCAAACTGTTTATAAACTATTTTTTCTGCCATATTATGTTATGGTTGTTCTTACTTGATCATCAACAGGGAGGGGCAGAGGTAGGAGTAACTATCAATCAGAGGCACAAAAAGGTCGTTTTGGTCCAAGAAGCTATGGCAGGGGAAGTGGCCAAGATGGAGGTGAAAGTGAGTATAACAAACCAAGAGGAAATGGTTTCTACAGACCCACTACCCGTCAAGAGAGGGGATATTCAGGGTATCAAGGCCCAAGAAATGGTCACAATCCTGCCCAATCAGCATAATTTTTTACCTAGAGAATCAATTTTTCAGATTTCAGCACTAAATTGTCAGTTTCAATACATGTTAAGGACCAAATATCGATATTTTTTTATGCCTTAAATTATGATGTTCGGGGAATTTGTTTGTTTGTTATTTATTTATTTTTAATGTAAGGGCCGTTTTGTTTCATTTGTCTGTTCACGAAATTTATGTTTAGTTTGCATTGTGTTTTGAAACGTTCTGCAGTTGTTTCTATCGCCAATTTAAATATAGTAATTTTCCCCATCACTTACGTGATTTTGTAAATTTTATATATTGATTTCAGGTCTTTATTATTTTATGGAGATAACTTGAAGGAAATATGAGAAATAATAAACGGTTCAAATAATTTATTTAATTTTTAAAATTCATCTGTCCCTTATCGGTAGGATTAGGTTTATAGCAAAATGCTTCCCATCTTCTGATACCCCCACCGTGGGACCGAAGAAACACGGAATAAGTATCAAAATCAAACTAAAAGTAAAATTTCATTTTGGCATCACTTTGGCTTCAACATAACCATAAATAATTTGGTAAGTTATTCTTGTCCTGCTGCAATTGGATACATGTTATTCTAGAAAAAATGAAACATTTCGGGCAAAAAAATGCAGTTAGTCAAGAAATATGGTTTTCTTTATTCTGGATGAGCTACGCTTGCTGCTTCCGTGTGCTGCTTGTGTGTATTGTTTCTTCATTCACCTGTAATCACGAACATTCATTTGGCATATTTTCTCGCAGAAGATCACTTGAGCATGGCTCTGCCTATAAATTTCAGCTTTCCCCATCATCTGTTTCCCAGAGAAAGCAGGTATATGCTGCCAGAATATTGCTGAAAGAAGAGAAGTTGTAAACAGTTGCATCTTAATTATTTATATAAAGGATATATTCTTTTTTGTTCAGAATTTGAGCACTGCACACCAGTTATAGATGATTAAACAATTCTTTCAACCTCTAAATTAAGAAGGGCCTAGCCACCTACTAATGTTTCTCTCCTATTTTGGAGAATGATAAACATGTTATGTAGCAAAACATTTGATGTAAGATGTGTCTCAAACTGTACCTATCCCCAGGGGAAGCCTGAGCTGCTTGTTCAAATAAAAACGAAGCTTTTTCTTGATCATGATGAAGTTCCCATACTAGTTTGGCATATTCTGATATCATTTCACCGTCACTGGGATCAGCTACTATTGCACGTGAGTAGTAGTCCTCTGCTGCTTGATGATCTCTCTTGGACTGTACATTTAACAAGACTCAGAATTCTCTAATCATAAAGTAAGTAATAACAATTAGTTTACACAAACATTTTTTATTTTTATTATGGTAGTTATGACTCATATGAAGGGGCTACTCGTTAACAATTTAATATTAGATGGAGAGAGGCTCATCTAACTAATCATAGTTTGTGCCTCGATTGTTGTCTGTTTCGACTATTGTCAAATTCCCCTGTAAGAGGATGGCTGTTGTTTCAAGCCATAAATGAGTATTCTGTCTCGGATTTCGTCCCAACAAACCAAAACAAAATGTGTTAGAAAAAAAAAATCAGATTAATGTGGTAAGACATTTTTCAGTCAAAATATTAAGACAGCTTAAGAAGCATACGTGTGTTGGTACATTTAAAATAAAATGAAAAACCTCACCTGCAACAGAAACTGAGCATACTTTTTTAGAAACAAAGGATTATCTGGATGTTCATCAATCATCTTCTTAAAATAATCTTCAACGTTACTTACTTCACCATAATTATGTGATGCATCAAGCTCCTGTCTAGCTGAAAGAACCGAGAATTGGCTGATTAGATCACTTTTTTCTTTGGAGGGCTTCACAGGTTCAGTCTTTTGATTTTCCATGTCACTCTGCTCTTAGAAATAAACAGTGAGTATTAAATTATCAATGCGTGTCATTCGGAAGACAGAATGACCCCTAAAGACAGAATTCAGAATAGAGAAAAGCACCTGAATTTCATGTTTCCAATCTTCATTGCCATCATCTTCAATGTTCCAGAGAAAACTAGCATATGCAGCAAGAACATGGCTGAAAAGGATACATTACATGTTTACCGTTATCTTATTTTTTAGTCATAAAAGGTCAACAATTTGCATGTCTAAATAGAATCTTGGAGTTTCTGCAGGCTACAATAAGCTTGAAGAGCAACTTTAGGGTCAGTACTAAGTTCTAACTGATGATATTTTTAGCTTTTAAACACAATTCCCATGCCATATTTCATTTTAAACGAGATGGATAATTTGGCTTTGGTTTTCTACCTGTCTTGAGGTGCAGCTTGAACTGCACGTTCAAAATAGACTAATGCTCTATCCTTGTCATGATGGTTCTCCAATGCCAGCTTCGCGTACTCCATCAAGGTTTCACCATCATTAGGATCTGCCATGGTAGCACGAAGAAAGTACTCCTCAGCTCCTTGTAGGTTTCCATTAGACTATCATCATTAGATGTCAAAAGTTGGATGTCAAGCATATGAGAAGAACTATAAGAAACTTTATGCTAGTCTCAATGAAACTAAAAGATGATGATTAAACAATAGAGCTTCATTTGTCAATCATGCAAGCCTCTTACAAACATAATTAACTCTTGGATAAACTATTTTTAAAAAATGAATTGTACTAATAGGCATGCCTTATGGGATTTACTACAAACATAAAAGGCTCAATGTCTATGCCATATCAATCCAAACTAAAACCACTACTCATATCAGAACCAATATTTCAAAATTTATGTCTTTCTGAAATGTAGATCTCACAAACTAAACCGAAATCAACAATATTTACAATCAGTTTCATTTCATCATTGACAACTCACTTGTAAAACCTGTGCATACTTTTTGAGAACCAAAGGGTGGCAGGGATACTCATCAATCATGCTCTTGTAATAACCTTCAAGATCCTGACTTTCTTGCAAGTTGGGATTAAATATATCACCACCGACAAGTTTGTCAGATCCTAACTCATCATCAACCCCAAGCCCCGTTGCCAGATACATGGGGGGACTAGCTGGTTCAACATCTTCCTCTTCAATACTCAAATTCTGAATCCCATTTGACCAATCATTCTCATCCTCATTCTCACCTTCCTCAATCAAATCCATCTTCTTGTTCCCAAAACTGAACTCACCGCTGCCTGTGGCTTCCAAACTCTGTCCAATCAAAACAGTTTTCTTCAAAATTTCTTCCGGGGTGATGTCATCATCATCTCCATGAAAGTTGTTGTATATTGCAAATGATGGAGCTGAATGCAAGGTTGTTGACTCAAAGTCATCCTCCATGGTGCTGTCAACAAGATATGCCAATATGTGTAATTTGCTACTAGTCTTAGATACGGAAAATGTTTGTTTCTAGTTTATCAACATTAATTCTGGTCCAAGCTTTTAAAATATCTTTTGCTGGCTTTAAGTTACAAAAATCCAAATCCCAAGTCATAGAACCTTGCATTAGACCACGAGGAGGAACATGACGACAATAATTGCATTTTCAGTTCTTATATTTATTCGATCGCGATTCGTCCTCAATTTTTTAATTGTTCAAACTAAGTTTTCATGCGAAATTTTTTCTAATAATTAATTAGAGTATAACCAATGCGTGACACATTAAATTAGCTAAATACAAATAAGAATGTAATAAAAGTCTATTTATATATGTACTAATCCATACATTTTTATTGTTTGACAGTTTTGGGTTGAGAAGCTTAACATAGAAACTCATAAATTTATACATAAATAGTGGAAAGTAACAGGAACAAAAATTACTTATTAATTAAGATTAATGGGGGAAATATAATTAAAGAAAACTAATGTTAGTTTTGAATGTGGATTATGCAACAGAAGGTCAAAAGGGCCACCCACTAGTAGCAAGATTAACGTGATTCTGTTGAAGAAGTGTAGGAAGAAAGTGTCTCTCATCACATGGAAGTGCTTACATTGGTTGCTATTATTTGAGTATGACTGCACAACTTTTTAGCAAACACCGCCAAAAATGATTTTGTTAATATCCGTTTTGTAAGTCTAGCATGTTAATTTGAACAGTTACTGAAATTTATTAAAAATTGTAATTCTATTTTGTTTTTACTTTTTATTTAATGAATATCTTTTTAATTTTTTATGATTTGTAATCAATATAAAAATACGAGTTAGAAAAAATGTATTGGAAAATATTATTAACAACTCTTTTAACACATTTTGTGCGGCTGAATTGGTGATAAAAATCAAAATTGGGCTTTTAAACCAGAAAATAAGAACTAAAGGTCACACCTGTTTCCCACAAATTATTGGGCTTTCTTTTGCACCTTCCCATAAGAAATGTTTCACACAAGTTATTTTAAATAGGTAAATAAAAGAGGTTGGTATATGTAACAAATTTTCTAAATCACTAGAAATCATCCTTGAAATAAATTTGAAGGAAGTAATTAGTAAAATGAGAAACTTACCGCACATATGAACGATTACCCATTTACACTAAAAAAAGGTTGGTGCGTGGGTGAAATAAAAAAGAACAAGAAAGTGGTTTAAGTTGGTTGAAGAAGGAAGCGAGAAGAGCGGAGAGAAGAAGGGTTCAAAGGAAACGAATGGCTCGGCTGATTCGGTGTCGTTTAGGGTATTGGCATTGGTGGGTCCCTCCCTCCATTTGCCTCCCCCAATTCATGTCACGCCCTCCCTCGTCGTCCTCCCCGTGGACGACAGCGAGTGGCACTCCTCCCCGCGTCGACGACCACAACCGCAACCGCATCACCTCCCTCTTCAACTTCAACCGCCCCTGGATCAAAACACTTAAACGCAGCAATACGGTGAATAAACTATACAAAAAGTACCTTCAAACTTACAAACCCAAATAAATCATCGTCCTCTTCCAATGCAATGCACCCAATAGCCCCCTTGGGTGCATTGCATCCTTAATTCTCCATCGATAATTCGTAAATCCATATTAGGAGAAGAAAAGAATGTCTCAAATCATGGATTCCTTTCAGTTACTGGAACTCAACGTGATTTCGGCCCAAGACTTGGCTCCGGTGGGTCGCAACATGCGGACCTACGCGGTCTGCTGGGTCCATCAGGACCGGAAGCTCTCCACTCGCGTCGACACAGAGGGCCACACGCATCCAACATGGAACGACAAATTCGTCTTCCGCGTCGACGAGGACTTTCTCTACTCCGACGCCTCCGCGATCATGATTGAGATCTACGCGCTTCATTGGTTCAAGGACATCCATGTCGGTACCGTCCGCGTCCTCGTCGGAAACCTCGCCCCTCCGCCCTCCCGCCCTTCCCATGACAACCGCACTCCTCTAGGCATGCGCTTCGTCGCGCTCCAGGTCCGCCGCCCCTCCGGCCGGCCCCAGGGGATCCTCAACATCGGCTTCACCATCCTCGACAGCTCCATGCGCAGCATGCCGCTATACACTCACAACCCCTCCGCTGTCGGCTACCGCCACCTCATGGGAGAGAAGGACGCCTACGACAGCCACAACCACCTTAGCCCCCACGTCCTCGCCGCGGCCTCCGGCACTCCCAAGGTCGAGCTCCGTCGCGCCAAGAGCGACAGCAGCTCCTTGATCGCAGCAGAAGCCGTGGTGCGGTACAACCGAGCCGTGGCTAACCATAATAGAGCAAACTCCAACATTTCAGGATACGAAGTTAACGTGGAAAATGATAAGAAAGGAAAGAAGACGAAGAATTCGAGGTCCAAGAGTGGCTCTGTTGAGGATAGCGTCATCGAAGAAACCACCTCGGTCCTCAGCGACACCGTTTCGCCTTGGAAAATTAAAAGCGGAAAAGCGAGCCCCCATGATGATGATATTCTCCACGTCGAGCAACTTTCGCCACCTCGTCACTACCACAACGACGTCGCTTACGACGATTTTCATAATCATCACCATGACGACGACGCTCATTCCGACATTAGCGCCAGCGAAAACTTCATCGTCGACGCCATAGAAGAAGAACACGTTCCAGTTAACCCCGTCATATACGAAGTTCGTGCCACCCCGAAACCACAGTTTCGAAACTCTCCGGCGCCTCACTATATGAATTCGCCAGCACCAAAATTTAAGAATTCTCCTGCGCCGCAGTATATGAACTCGCCGGCACCGCAATATAAGAACTCGCCGGCGCCGAAGTATATGAACTCGCCGGCACCTCAGTTTAAAAACTCTCCGGCGCCGCATTATATGAACTCGCCGGCACCTCAATTTAAGAACTCGCCGGCACCTCAATTTAAGAACTCGCCGGCACCTCAATTTAAGAACTCGCCGGCGCCACAGTTTAAGAACTCTCCTGCGCCACAGTATAAGAATTCTCCGGCACCACAATTCAAGAATTCTCCGAAACCGCAGTATATGAATTCTCCGGCACCGCAATATAAGAATTCTCCAGCACAACAGTATATCAGCTCTCCGGCGCCGCAGTATAAGAATTCTCCGGCGCCACAGTTCAAGAACTCTCCGGCGCCACAGTTTAAGAACTCTCCTGCGCCGCAATTCATCAGCTCTCCGGCGCCGCATTTTAAGAATATATATGGGGCTTCTCCGAAGCCGCAGTTTCGGTCCTCGCCGGCGGTGGGGGCACCGCAGTTCCGGGCGTCGCCGGCGGTATCGAAGTTCAATCCGAACAGGGGGACACCAATGCATCCGTTAGGGAAGGTGAACAGTGCGTTTGAGTACATGACACCGCGAAGGTCAAATTTGGGGAACATGGGACCGACAATGATAACAGAGTCAGAGCTGGGGCCTTCGCCGTCGGAGGTTGCGGCGGCGATTGCGAGGAAGCCAGTGATCGACGATGAGGATAACTCAGAGGTGGGAGGGTGGACCTTGGTCGAGAGCGTGGAGGGCTTGCAGTCAAAGTTGGAGAGGTGGCAGTCGGACCTGCCGCCGGTGATCGATCACGGCGAGCTCTCGAGCCACCCGACGTCGAGCACAAGGACGAGCCGCCACTCACGGAGGCATACCGACGGTGGGAGTGCGCCGAGTGGGGCTGGGGGAAAGGGAGGGAAAGGGGGTGGGTTGTTCTCATGCTTTAGTAATATCTGCGGTGTTGAGTGCTACATTGGTTGCGGCGGCGACCCTAAAGGAAAGAAGGACCGCAGCCGCCGCAACCGCACTCCCTCCGTCGACGGCAATACCACCAGCCTTCTCGGATGACCAAACCCAACGACAACAACATGGGAATATTCGTGTGCCTTATTGCAAAGGTTGTTTCCATGCCATTAATACTCTTGTTGGAGAGTACGAGTCTCCATGGGATATAAATGTCAAGTACTCAAGTCAACTATTTTGTGCTATTAAATAAACATGCTTGAGTAGCATTTATGAGGCAAACTTCAATAGTTTCAGATACCTCGACTCATTGACAACTCTAGCTTGATAATATAAGGAAATTAACTAAAAGAAAAAAACATCTTGTGATTGCATAAGAAGCATTGTATTATTCTTGTGTTCTGATGTAACATGGATTTCAACAGAAACCCTTGCATCATCAACCTTAGCAATCAATCTTGATGACTTTCCAAGTGCTGTAGTTTTAACCACATTAACATGCTCTACTTAACTACTTGATTTTCAATGCATAATTCTAGCTATAGGATATAAATCCGTTTGGGTTTTTTATCATTTATTCTTCCAAATAGGTAGAAACTGCTCTCTATCGTATCGAAGCTCATCTACAAGAACTTCCTGGGATCAGTTACGAAACCAGTTAGTGCAGATGCTGCTGCAGTATACGGAGAAGCAAGATATATCTGGCCTTCTATGTGTCCCATCCGACCAGGGAAATTTCGATTTGTTGTTGACACACACACCTGCATTGAGTGACCTTTCGTCAGTTACATCAAAAGCTAAATAAAGTTGAAATATATAAAACGGTTCTGTACATTGATAGTCACTCCAAAATATAGAAACTAAAAACTGGCATTTTCAAAGGAATTTGAGTTAGCAGATAAGGCAGCGTGTCAACTGGAACTTAAGTCTACACTTCTTTAATGGCGATTTATTCCCAGACCAAAACCATTTTAGATTTTATATTTGGCTCTGGACAAATAATAAATTTTCTTCACATGATGCTTCCATGAGATCCAAATATTGTAGCTACAAACTAGGATTTTCCTTTTAAAGTAAGGGTAAGTTCGATTCGAAGAAAGTGTAAGTTTACCTGAGGTTCATTCAAACGTCCATATGTGTCTCTCGGGCCACCCATACAGGCAGCACAACTAGGACTTGCTGGAGGATCACAGCCAACTTCTTCAAAAATCTTTGAACAAGTCTTGCCACCTGAACCAGGTACCTCAAGTGTGTACAAGTCCATCCAAACCTGAAAATTTGACAATTTTGGTAATTGGTACTGATGAAATAGGAAAATCACCCCATAATTTGAATAAAAACAGTAGTCCTTCACCGACCTTCTGTGTGGCAGGAACAAGAAAAGTAGGAACTTTGACAGTTTTTCCCTACAATGGAACCAGTTTCATTATGTTAGAGATGATAACGAAAGAAAAAAAAAAACGGTGTCAGTCACTAATTTTTAATGAGCATAAAAATTAACAATACGAACTAAGATCATAATTCTCAATTGTCTCATACTCCTGGAAAAAAACAATAAACATTATGTTTCCCTTTTAAGCATTGTAAGTATTATATAATTCACTATTTCATTTGAAAAAGTTCTATATGGCTTACAATTTTACAATCGAACATAGATATTGAGGAAAACTTATTTGTAGTATGTAATTTTCATTTGAATACATTCACTACAATAACATGTTTTCCTTCAATTCAAAATTTCTGATCCATATTCATCAGCATGACAGCTACCAAACAGAGACACGAAAGTCCCTGCAAGGATTGCCATCTTGATGAGAAGTGGTTCAAGCCCTACAAAATGAATCCAGAATATTAATCCTTTTCCAATTTCCATTATACAATATATGCAGTTTGCATAGTATAAAAATGATGGAGAGTAAGAAGTTATACTAGACATACACCCGCTAAGAAAACTTTTGCTGCAGCCATAAAATCTTCGGTCTTCCCACCAGTACAGGATCCAATGTATACTCTGTCAATTTTCACATTGTTGCATTCTCTTGCCAAAGCACGGTTATCAGGGGAATGTGGCTGTGTGATGGTTCAAACATATTACATTATATTAGCAATCAAACACAATGATTTTTTACAATAAAAATTTCTTAACACGTGTATGGCAAAATGAAGCTAAAAAATATGATTAAGGTAAAAGTACCTTTGCAACCAATGGTTCCATCTTTGATACATCAAAACTATACTGGGCTAGAAATCTAGCACATCAACAAGAAAAGAAAAGAAGAGAAACCATTTAAAAAAATCACATAACAGAAAAAAAAAAAACAAAAAACAAAGGGGTGACATATACGAATTAATTATTCTGAAAAGACTTTATGGCGAGAAAATGATTAAGAATATAAACATACCATATGTTAATGAAACACGAAACTTCATGATTTCAGCAGCTATTATATTCTATGGATATAAAATCACCATTTGACCATTATAAAACTTTTACCATATTATTGGTCAATCAGAAATGGCAGATATCTTTTAAATCAAATTTCAAAGAACACACATCTAAGGTAAAATCATCTCTGGTCCATCTTGCAATTCCAGATCCACTAAAACTGGATTTAATCTTGGTAATTACGGATCAAATAAATTATATTCGTATATATATGAGGAGCAAACAGAACTTGCCTTGCATTCTCATCACTAAAAACTGGTTCATATGGTGCAGACGTCTTATCCTGTGCAAAACCACTGAACAATATAAAATCCATGGCACCGATAGAAAGGGGATGTATTAAGATGTGAAAACTGGGTATAAAGTTAGGCAAAATTTATTATACACACAAAGATGTACTGCAGGGCTTATTTCAAGCATTACTGAACGAGCCAATATGTCTTTCTAATTGAAAATTCAGCATCTTTCATGTTTATATATATATATATATGTGTGTGTGTGTGTGTGTGTGTGTGTGTGTGTGTGTGTGTATAAATAAGTAAATGCATAAGGAAATATTACATGCTTCCTACCAGGTAAAACAACGAAATTGAGAAAAACATTAAGGGCATTGATAAACTCTAATAACCTCAAGGTATTTGTATGTGGTACTATCAGCAGCAACAATACCATTTTTCCCTCCAGCTTCTATAACCATATTGCATACTGTCATCCTTTCTTCCATCTACAAGACAACAATTCCAAAGTCATATACTACTGCAAATGACATAGCATAGAAAAAAAAAAGGAAAAAGTTAAAATATACATACACTTAAACTTTCAATTGTTGTCCCGACAAACTCCATTGTTTTATATGTTGCACCAGACATAGATATTTCACCAATGATCTGAAAGATGGTTAATGTTTTCAAATGGCAACACCACCCAGAAAAATAGTGTTATAATACACTAGTGCCGGATAATTTTCATCAACCACATTTCATCAAATGGAAAAACACGTGAGAGGAAGACATCACCCACATTCAAAATTAGATCCTTTGCAAGCAAATAGCTGGGCATTTCACCATCCAGCACAAATCTTAAAGTTGGAGGCACCTGCAGTTCAAGTATATTTCGGGCATTAGGCATGGTTGATAAGAACAAATACTAAGATGTTATGCAGAAGCAGAATAAGAGTGCTGGTTTATCATGTCGGAAAGATATAAACTGAGTCAATGTGAGACTTGGTTTCTTCCAATACATCCCTTCACACGTAACATTATTAGGTTTCATGCATGGATAATATGGTGGATGACCCTTTTAATAGATGTAGGACATCGTCCTATAGACATGTAGGCTTAATAAAAGGTCTTAACCCTCACCAACTAAGTCTAAGTATTTTTCATATATAACACAAAATGAAGATATTTTTTCACTTGCCTTGAGTAAGATCTTCCCAGTCCCTAATACAAAAGCTGCATCAGTGTTACCAACTCCTGTGGCAAACTGACCAAATGCTCCAGCTGATGTGGTGTGTGAATCAGTACCAAACAAAACCTGTTGCCATATATCAAGTGATCAGAACATCTTTGAAATCTGTAGATTTCAAATTTTATCATGTCTTAGCTTTGTTAACAGAACTCACCTCTCCTGGTCTGCAATGACCCTCCTGTGCTAGAGCAACGTGACAGACACCTTTATAATCTGGATTAGCCTACAATGTATAATTTATTATTTATAATATTTATTCTAGACACTGTTTCCTTTGAAGCAATAATTTTTTCTAATAATTAAAGTCACTTCAATGACATGAAAATAACTGATAATGTTTAATTTTCTAATAAAGCTTATGAAAATGCCAACTGCATGGTTAAAATATAAAATAAAATGACCAAATATAACCATTACTTATTAGACACACAGCATCATTGTTTCAAACAAATAAAAAATTTATGTAAATTAATTTCTAGTTCAAAAAGAATCACTGGCCTATTTAATCTTTCAGGCAAAGGGACCTTTCACTAAGCAAGTTGAAACGCATTGTTGCTGATAAGTGGTAATTTTTTTAATATACAAGTTAATACAATGAGTTTAACTAGAGTCTGAGAAGCGTTTCAGGTTAATAACTTTCTTCGTTTTCAATCCTTCACTTTCTCATTTCCTCTATCCTCACTCCAAACGAACTATAAAAATGAAACCAACCTATGTGCAATGCAAGAAAAGACTGAAGAGAAACCGTACCCTGAAATTACTGCGATCTTGAATATCATAGAAGTACTTGATATCTTGCTCTACACAAAAGTCTCTTGCTATATCCACATTGCGGTGTGCGCGTTCATCATTTGTGAATATATAGTGATCAGGGATAACCACTATCTTTTCACGGTCCCAAACCTTTTAGTGTCCAAATTTTACATTATTATTATTCAATGATGTAGTAATAATATCATTAAAAAGTTTATTCATAGCTTCGACTTGTTAAATATCAAACATGTTCTGAAGAAAATGTGTTAAAAGCACAAGTGCATGAATACCTTTGCAGTGTTGCCAAATTCTTTCTTGAAGATTCCAGTTATACCTGGACAAGTGATATCATTGATCATCAAAACATCCACATTTGTCCATACGTTTTCCCCTGGTGTCACTTCACGTTTCTCAGCAGCACTTGCCAGAATCTTCTCTGTTGCAGTCATGGGAATTTTCGTCTACAGTGAACCAGCACAAGATTTGCCAATATTAGCACTATATATATAATTTGAGCTTATCAATGGAAAACAGGGAAGAAAGTGAACACAACTGAGCCAGTTGCAGAAGGGTTGCGTTTGTTCTTCTGGGATGACACAGCAGAAACAATCTTCTTTGATGATGTTTTCTTCCATGTCTGTCTCTGCCATGTTATAATGGATGGTGAAGGAAGAGCAAAGAAACTCAAGTCTGTCTGAAACAAAAATATCAGAATAAGTAAATTCAATGGATATAGCCTATGATAATAGGAGAAAACTAACATTAATATTGTGGTGTGTGTGTGTGGAATGAAAGCTTATTGGTGGAAAGACCTTGTAAGTTATGGAAGGTGAAGAAATGATTGCCATGGTCAAATTAAGAGTATGACAGAGGGAAATCAATGAACAGTCTTGTCCTTGTATGTTTTAGGGTCGGCGTGAGAGAGAGAGAGAGAGAGAGAGGATGTCTAGAACAAAATGGAAATGGAGAGGTGCAATTTTATGGCCACTTTACTTTGAAACATCATGTCTGGTACTTATTTCTTATACTGATTTTTTTTTTTTAATTTTCATTCGGATAGCTTTGTAGCCTGTAGATACTATCGTGGATTTTTATTTTTAGTTTCTTACATACCGTTTTTTCATCAAGATCTAAAATTTACATCTAATACCGAACACCGATCTTTCTTTTTATTTTGTTAGTGCGTGATCTTCATGATTGTGGATGTCCTGGGTTGGTTCTCGACTCTGAAAACGAGAGAAGTTTATGCAAGGACATAAAATCGTGTCTTTTGTAAAGTTTTGCAGGAACAAAATTACATTTTTTTTCAAGCTTGTTGATATACATGAATAGGTGGTATAACTCAGTATTTGTAAAATATTGTGGTACATACAATATGAATCTTTAAAGTTTTTTTTTTCTCTAAGTTGATTGAATATTTACCCCTGAACAATGACCGTGTGTATAACTTCTAGTAATTACTTTTGATCCCCATAAATTAGATACTTAGGTATTATTTTTCAGTAAAACTGATGAATTTCGTATTTTGGTTTAATGACGAGTCTTTTTAAGTTCTAGTTTAACATGTTTTATTTTCGTGTGGATGTTTTAATGATGTGTTTGCGAAGATATTTTGATGTTTAAGTGAAGTAAATAATTAGATTAAAATTAGAATATGAATTATATTTTGTTTTTTTATGGTATGAGTACAGCGCGACTACAATACCACGTAGACGATAAGTATATCTATAGTAAATATACTTTTCTCAATTGAACTCTAGCAATTTGTCAAAGAAGAAATTATTTCTATTACATAAAATTGACAAGCACATTTTGTCTCATTCACAGAAACGTCAATTTCTTGAATAGTCTAAGAATGTTTATCCGACATATTTCCTTGCTCAATGTCTTTTCTATCTATTTAACATTTCACTTTTCACATTTTAATTCATGTGCAAAACACAATTTTATGGTTAACAGTGAGATTAAAAATAAATAAAGGACAGAGTTGGAACTTTCAAAGTCTTTTTTTTTTTTACCTGAGTTTGAGTAATGTTGTTCTTTTTCCCACAAGTTAGGGAAATCAAATCGGATTTTTCCTTCTCCCCGTTATCATCCAAACGGGCCACGTAGGTCAGGATTAATTTATTCCCACCTCTGAGTAGGTCCAGTTGATAAGATATAAATTTGGATTTAGATTTTCCTCATTTTAAAAACGCGGACCCTAAATACAAAATGCAATTCTCATCTTAATCTCATCTCTAATTTAATTTTATATTAAAATTTAAAATTTAAAATATTTTTTCTTTTTTTATATTATATTTAAGTGTTATTTTTTTATATTTCTCACATATTATATTTTTTTTATCTTTCGCTTCATCACGTTTTCTTAATTTTTTTTAATTAATTTAAATTTTTTAATCTATTTAATTAATTTAATAAATATAAAATTATTTTTATTTACTTATTTTAAATATTACACATCAATCTTATTAATAATTAATATTATTTTATTTCTAATTTAATTTTATAAAATGATATGATTTGAATATATTTCTCACATAATAAATTTTATTTTAATAAAATAATTATATTATAAAATTAAAAAAAATCAATAATTAAAATTTTTATTATTTTACACTAATTAAATAAGAATTAATTTATTAAATATTTTTTTATGAAAACATTTACACAAGTCACCTCTATTTTCATTGGCATAGGTAGTTCACCTATGAAGACATCTAACCCATCAATATCAACCCATAAGTTTAAACCATTATTCACTGCTGGGCAAGTTGGAATAATCTGCATTACTTGGTAAACGAACGTCACAATCCAGAGAAAATAATTAGGGTCACTTGGTTTAAAATATACAGGAAACAGGGATCATCATCATGGAACCCCATCGATCCACTCATGAACACAGGCAGGCGAGTGACCATTTTAGATTTCAAATAGCATTTTTTGCAACTTTCCTGAATCGAAAGCATGGACCAAAAGCTCATATTATAATGGTTACAAGTAAGATTTACAAGTCAATATAGGCGATAAAATGAAGCAATGTTTTTGCTCATGAAAAAGTTGTCCATCACAGGCATCGTGGCAGTCAACCAAGACAAGATTGATGGAACAATATTTGAAGACTGCATTGTCTCGACTACCAAAAGTGTTTTCATCTGCTCCCCAAAATTGTTAGATGGAAGTCATTTATAACAGAAATAAGAGTATTTTTGCCCTTACAATAATTAATTTTTCACCGTTTTTAACTTCTCCGAGCTCTACATTTACATGCAATCAGAAGAACAAATTACTACAGGATTATACCATTTGTTCTCTTCAAAAATATTTAACAGCATTGCCATGCCAAAAACTTCTTAAGTGCTGGTAGTACCAGATGACTTTGCATCTTTCGTCCCAGGATCTCCTGGAAAAACAAAAACAACTTAAACGCCAAAACTCAAGACATAATGCAAAAACTGATATGCGTAGGAAATGCAAATTGACTTCGTCTAATCTGTATAATTAACCTCTAACTAGGATTGAAAAAATCGACCTTTTACTACAGCTTTATATGATAGCTAGGTTATAATATTTGGTGCATAAAAACGTATACATACGTAAAAAAATGCACACCCTTATTAAAACGAAATGTGTTTAATCCTGCCAGTCTGTCACTGTTAACTAGTAGACCACATATGGAGTCAAACTGAGATATACCAAGGTCAAAAATTGAAAAATAAAAGAAGGAAAAAAGTAGTTTCAAGAGAAATACATTCTAATTTGAACTAATGCTTGATTTTATGAAGTTTATGAGTAAATGTATTCATTTAACTTCTCTATGATGATGTAATATTGACTATTCTAGGATTTAGTGGGAGTTCTCTAAGAAATAAGAAGAAATTGTTATATTGAACTTTGGTCTGTTGCGTTTTTTTTTCTCGTTTATTCTTATACTTTGATTAAAAAGATGTATTGGCCAGCATTGTTTTCTTCTTTCTTAAAAAGTTTACGTTTAATAGTTGATTCAACAGTTTTGCCACCAGTCCTGCTTTCTCTATTTCCCCTTTCACTGTTTCTATTATCAACATGAAAATTTAAAATGAAAAGCTAATTTTCTTGTTAGATTCAGAATAAATTCACAGACAAAAACAAGATGTTATCAAAATGGCCTTTATAGCAATTAACGTACATCCTGCTGTTTCAATAAGAAATAAAACAACCAAGAAACTTTTCCCATCAGGGCTTACCGAAATCATTATGAACTAAGCCCTTCTTTTTGGATTATCATCCTTGGAAAAATCTTATACTGAGAAAAAAAATAAAACCCAGAACTTATAAAAAAAAAAAGTTAGAGCAACATGACGAGACTTAAGAATGAAAAATATTATAAAGGCACTCAAGAGATTAATTATCTCTTAGCTGATCCATTAACTTATAGGAAAAAAAGAAATTATTACAAAGAGTGTAGATATTAAAAGGCTACACCTAGGTGCCAGCAGCTAGTAAGAAAAACAGCTACTCAGGACACTTGTTAGCAAAACCTTTTCTAGAGAGACTATAAGCACAACAACAAGAATTAAACACGGTTCCTCTTAAGAACGGATCGTCTTATAAGCACATTGATACTCCTAAAGCACAAAGGATTGAAGTACTGGCACAAAATTGGCCCCTAAGTTACCAAATGCATAAAGCTCGCCCAAAATTTCAAGCATAGCTAACACAAAACTATATATAACAGGAAAAAGATGGTAGGAAATATAAAGAAACCGAATGGTGAAAAATAACTTCAACACAAAATTGGTCTTCTCCTTTTATATCCACAAAATCACCTTCTACATAAACAAAATAAATTTCCATTGCCTCATTCAATAGCTAGTCTACAGTAGGGTAAGAGAAGTAAATAAATTACCTAGTTTGGCGAGTGGAGGAGGCGGGGCTTCACCATAGATGGCTTTGATCCTTTCCAGAGGAACCACAAAAGAATCAGTAGAGGCTTCAGCATAAAGCTGCTGTTTCCAGTTCCAAATGGTCCTTCTAATGGACTTGTTGGTTTTGGTAAGAGATTCCTTCTCAGCCTCAAGAGCTTCAATGGTCCATTGTTGATTCATAGATCTTACACCAAGGGTTGCAAACGAAGCAAGCAGACAAACGTTAATCAATGTGTTGTTGTTTGCAGCTCTCGCAGCTACGTCCACTATTCGGTTAACAAACTCCATTCCTTTCCCGAAATCAAATCAAACCCTAAAGAAAAGGCATTTTAGAAAAACCCAAATTCTCACCATAATACGGGAAGATTTTGGAGGGACACAGTCACGGACCAAAAATTAAGGCCGAATCGCATCCAGTGATATTCTAATCCAATTTCAAGATTCAATTTCATTGTTGCCCAATGTTTTATACATATAATAGCTAAACAAAAAAATCTTCTTCAAAATCAGTATCAACACTTATACTCAATAATGCAACAGAGTTATTCAAAATTCAAAGGATGTAAATCAGAAGAAAAGAAAACGGTTAATTTGAAATCATAAGAATACTAGCGTACCGGAAATGGTGGCGGCGGCACCAGTTAGCGGCACAAAACGAGTGCGTTACAGACTGAGGGAGACTGAGGTTTTTATGTGACGAAATAATAACGTAGCAGAAACTACAGAAAAGCTTGCAACCAAAAGAAAGTTTAATTTTGTATAAATTATAATTTTGGTCATTTTTATTTTCATGTTAATTTGGTATTTTAATTTTTATTGTAGTTTCTAAATTTTAGAAAATGTAATGCAGTCTAATTTTAATTTTAAATATGTTTATTTTTACATTCTGCATTTTTAAACGATTAAATTAATTTTTTTATGATAGTTTAAATGAATTTGTTATTTTTTTAATTTAATTAGAATGAAATCAAATAAATTAATTTTATGCAATTTAGTATTAAACTAAAATTACATATTTCATTATAATTATTCAATTAAAATCACGTTAAATAATAAAATACCGAAAATATGAATAAAAATACGAAACAAAAATTATAATTTAACTTTAAAATTACAAAAAATAAATAACTCAGAGTAATAACTATTTTAACACATGGGTAAATTATTAATTTTGTTTTGGTGATACAAATAAAATAGGAAAAAAAATCCTCCATGAAAAAAAGCAAAGTAAAAAAATTCATATAAAATATTTCATTTACATATATTTTTAGTCTATGTAAATATTTGTATGGTTTATATATGCTTTTAATTACTATACAAATATTTGCTGTTTTTAAATTTTAATATTTCGGATTATTTTTTTTACTTATTATCATTTGCAACTCATTTATATTAAAAATAAAAAAGTATTAATAAGATTAAGATAAAAATATTTTAAACTAATGGAATAAAATACTTTTTAATGTGTATTTAATTAAATAATATATTTATCGTATATCATAAATAATATAACTGTATAATTTTTATTTGTTTTCAATAACTTAATTTTAACTTTGCATTTATATTAAAAATATTTATAATTTACTTAGATGCATATAATTTGTTTTCTATATATTAAGTTTAATATAATAAACTCTAATTAAATTATAATTATATTTAATAAAAATACAATATTATAACTAAATTAATGAATGAAAAAAAAATATATAATTCTTTTATTTGTATTAACTAATAAATATTACTTAACTAAATTACCATAAAAATATAATTATCTTAATTAAAATACACTTTATTGTTGTGGTTATATTAATGAATGTTTTCTCAAATTAATCATAATTAATGATAAAGAGTGAACATAACTCATAGAAAATGTTAAAAATTTAAAATTTACAAATACTTTTTTTATAAACTAAAATCAGATGGAATAATATTGTATTGATTAAAATGTGTATGTTAATATTTATTATTATTATTAATAATAATAATAATAATAATAATAATAATAAAATAACACTAATGGTAATTATATATAAAAAAAACAAATTTATTAATATTAATATTATTTATATGATAATAATAATTATTATTATTATTATTATAAAACTAAAACAATATGAAAAAAAATATGAATTCAATTGTGATATTTCCTTTATTTTTTTCATCTAATTTATTTGTTCAGTAATTTCCTATATATAATGAATTGATCTTAGATGGTCATTAATTTCATCAAATTTTGAATAGAAAAATATCTTTCGTCAGAAGACAAATTATATCGTTCAAAAAATTAATTTATCATATATATTTATTGTTTCATGTTTCTAAAATTATAAAAGTTAAAAAAAAATCCAAATACTTAAGACTTATTTGTTTATTGTTTTAAAATAGTGTTTTTTAGTGTTTAAAATTTAAAAATTTATTTTGTATTAAATTAATTTTAAAAAAATTATTCTTATTTTTAGATTTAAAAAAAATCTGAAAAAATATATTTTCTATCCAATTTTTTAAGTTTTCTATTTTCATTAATAAGTATTAATGTTTTATTGATAATAATTTATTTTTATTATTATAAAGTTATTGAAATCATTTTTCAATTTTTATCCCGATTTTATGTTATCTATTTAGAATAGTTTTTAAGAATAAAATTATTAAATATTTTTTTCTTAACTTATTTTCAAAATCATTTTTTTAAAGTCGATATCTAAAACTGTTTTTAAAAATTAAAAGTAAAAGTGAATCAAGTAAACTCTCTCTCTTTCTTACACGTATTCACTTAGAGAGGATCATCCACAAATGAATATATGATTATTTGAATGAATTGTTTGTTAAAGTAGTCATTTAAAGTTAATTTTGTAAATCATATAATTAAAGTATCAATTATTTTCTATCATTCAAAGCATACTGGTTCCTAATCAATTAGTCTAACAAATGTGACTTTATTTGCTATATTTGTAAATTTGCTAAACATATTTATTTAACATCAAGTTACCTTGATGTAACCACCTTATAAATCGCGACTATAATTATGTCTTCGCAAAATAGTAAACAAGTAAATAACGATATTTATTTTATATTATATTAATGTAACTGTAACATAGATTGAAATTCCGGTTTAGTAACGAAACCTCAAAATATAGTAACATAATTTATTTATATATTATATATGTAAAAGTAGTTCCCTCGAAGTTATCCCACTGAACTATCTCTGTTGTCCAGTAGTCACATCTCCATCTCTCAACTCTTGATCTGCTCCCACATAAAAGTGATAATCGCAGTCTCATCCACATGGAAAAATTGGGGTAAGTATTAAATCATTCGATATAATAAAACAAATATAGAAGTAATAATTATATATTATGATCAATTATGAAATCATCAACACACTAAAACACCTTCCGGAAGTATACCCTAACTATGCCCGAACTCAGAGGCTATCATCTGTGGGCACATTGTGATCGGTACTCGCAGTACCATTCTGACCACCCTCCACACAGAGTAGGATTGTTGGCGCCCTTCATCACTCATATTGGAGTACCCCTCCGAGCGCGCCACCAGCCATCCCCCATCGACTTCTCACCACCTGATCTCGTAGTCTACCTGACTCGACCAATCAGTGAAGTTTGGGACCTCATTTAGAATTCTCCGACATAGTTATTACACTAATGTCATTTGTACCACCCCGGGTATCATTCAAACACAACAAAAATCATCCACATTTGCCGGATTCTGGACCACCTGTCCTCATGGCTCATTCAAGTCAATAAATAATAGTACGTGACTGATTCTGGATACCAACCCTCCGGCTCAGTCTAGCCAATACATAACATCTCATGACTGATTATGGGCATCAGCCCTTAGACTTAGTTTGACCTACACACGTCACAAATCTTTAAAGCTGCTACATTTATTCTATATTTTAAATATATATATATATATATATATATATATATATATATATATATATATATTCTTCTTCTTCTTCTTCTTTTTCCAAAATCTTTTCAGAAATCATTTTCGAAATCTTTTTCGAAATCATTAAATTACTATTTTGCCCTTAATCTTTTCAGAAAATTCCATGTATGTCCCTAAATGACTATTTTATCCTTGGACATTTTCGAAAATTCCTTTCATGTCCCAAAAATAACTATTTTGCCCTTGGACATTTTCAAAAATTCCTTCATGTCTCGAAAATGACAATTTTACCCTTGAACATTTTCAAAAATTCTTTCCATGTCCTTTTCTTCTTCCTCGTGCCGATAATAATAACAAATTTTGTTGATTTTGGCAGATTTCAAATTACTTAGTTTTAGACAACCAAACTAGTCACAAATTCAAATTAAACATGAATTATATCTAATTTAAGTTGAAAACAACAATTTTACCATATAATTCATCCTTAATTTTAAGAATTTCAAAAAAACTTTCAAACGGTGAACAGTTCATCAGAATCAGCAATTCTTTAAAATCAGACATTCAAATAATTCATATCTCTACTCTGATTCCTTATTCACAGAATACCCAACAATTCAATTTCATATATTGAATGAATTAAACTTCCCCTTACCTTGTATGGTATTTCTACCGAAGTTTTCCCACTTAATTCAAACTCTCTCCTGTTTCACCAGATCCTGCAGGAGTAGAGTATCGTTATTTGAAATTTAGACAAAAGAAGAAGAAGGATGAGAGGAAAATTTAGATTATGCTCCTCCCCCGTTTCTGTATGCGCATATATAAAAGCAAAAATTTATTGTGCATGAGGAAAACTTCGTTACGAAGTTTTCTTGTACAGTAATCTTATTATAATATTAAAAAAAACATATGTCACAATCTCCCCTCCACAAAAATTTTTGTCCTCGAAAATGAACTTACTTGGAAATAGATATGGATAGGATTCTCGCATATGATCCTCCATTTCCCAAGTGAAGTCTCCATATCATTGAGATGGTTCTACCTTTAAGTTGCTTTAGCTGAAAATCCTCTATCATCGCTGGTCTCACATCAACGAAGAGATCATCTCTAATCTGCACATCGTCTGACTCCTGGACATGACTAAGGTCATGTACATATTTCCTCAACTGAGATATATGAAATACATTGTGCAGATTCGTCAAATGAGGTGACAACACTAATTGATATGCCACTGGACCTACCTTCTTCAAAATCTGATATGGGCCAATAAACTTGGGAGTCAACTTCTTAGATTTAATTGCCCTTCCTACTCCAGTAGTAGGTCTGATTCTAAAAAATACATGGTTTCCCCCCTCAAATTCCAAAGGCCTCCTCCTCTGGTC